CCTCAGGGAACCAAATTAGGCCCTTTGTTTTTTCTTATTATGGTGAACGATCTGAGATGTAATGCACCATTGTACAAATATGTTGACGACTGTGCGGTTACTGAAATCATTAAATCATTTGACTTGCAGTCATCCAGTTTACAACGTGAGATCGACTACATAAATCAATGGTCGGTTAAGAATAATATGAAATTAAATGTCACAAAAACTAAAGAATTCAATATATCTCTGTCTAGCGCCCCACATTCGTTCCCTGCTTTATCTATAGACAATCAACATCTCGAAGTTGTCCACACTGTTAAGCTTCTGGGAGTGTACTTGTCTGCTGATTTAAAGTGGACGACGCATATTGACCACATATGTTCCAAAGCCAGTAAACGTCTATTTGCAATTCGAATATTGAAACGAAACGGCGTTGAAGTGTGGGATCTTAGAAATGTATACTGTAGCTTCATACGACCTGTGCTAGAGTATGCCTGCCCCGTGTGGCATTTTTCATTGCCTGTATTTTTGTGCGACCAAATTGAACAAATTCAACGCCGGGCTCTGAAAATTATCTATCCTGATTTATCGTATAAAGACGGTTTGAACGAACTCAATCTGCCCACTCTTGTTGATCGGAGGGTTTCCTTGTGTAAACGGTTTTACGAGAACAGTTTTGGCACTTCAAGTAAAACTTCTGACCTTTTACCTAGAAAGAAATCTTATTCATATAACCTTAGAAATGCTAGAAACATTCCACTTTTTAAAACACGTACAAGTAGATTTTATGACAGTTTTTTACCAACCTGCGTACGGAAATGGGACTTGCCTTGAACTATTCCAATTTAATAACTTAACACAATAATGCATAAATTTGTATTGTACATATATTTTTATATATTCTAATCTAACTATTTTATTTTAATATTTGTTACTTGAGTTTTTCAGTTTCTTTGTAAACTGCCATTCAAGTTTTTAATAAATTCAATTCAATTCAATTCAACTACAGCTACTTCAAAAATATGTAGTCAGCTACAACTACTGCTACTTTTGAACAAAAGTAGTTCGCTACTGACTACAGCTACTGCTTAAAAAATGTAGCGAACTATTTCGCTATTTCACTACGCTATATTTTTTTAGTTTTACTGTATTTGGAGCATCTACTTACTCAGGCTGTAATGTAACCTATAACAAATCTACTTACGAGTAGCAACAGTAAGCACAAAGCAACATTTTTGTAAGCACTACAGTGTTCAGGAGTGCAAATTGACTATTGAGTATTGATAGTTTTAAGCAAACCGTGTCTCAATATCATGCTATTCTATCAAGTTGCTAACAATTTTAAAAAGTAGCGAATAGCGATTCGCTGTTTGAAAAATAGTCAACTACTTGGCTACTTTTAGGCAAAATGTAGTTCGCTATAACTACAGCTACTGTTTTAAAAAAGTAGTCAAAAACTACTGGCTACTTGAAAATTGTAGTTCGCTACAGTAGCGAACTACAACTACTTCGCTACTACCCGCCCTTGGTTAGAATACGTAGGTTGGGAATGTGACATCATAATGACAATTTTAGACCAGCACTTGTGATGTCGTGGTCACCATGCTTGTCTTTCAAGCTTGGAGACCTGGGTTCAATGTCTTAAAATAATTGAGAAGTAAGAGTAGTAATGGGCAATACCAGGATTTTTAATTCGATACCGATACCAATACTTTTAAGATACCGATACCTATTTCGATACCAAAATGAACAGAAAATTTCAATTTTCGATACCGGAAGTGAGTACTTAAATTGCTAGTATCGGCTACACGCGTAAAAATTGAGAAAATCAACAACTTGTTCCAAGTTGATATCGACAGGCGTGAACAAGGTTGTGCGGCCCACTATGAACATTGTCAACATGTTGTTGCAGCATTTTTCAACCGTAACAACTTGGAACAACATGGTTGACAACTTGTTCATAGTTGGCCGCACAACATTGTTCATGCCTGTCGATATCAACTTGCAACAACCTGTGCGTTTTTAGCCGTGTACTTTCGATACCTGCCGGTCAGCGGAAAAACATTTTACATTACTGTATGTAACCTAAATAAAGCTATATGTAAACCAAAAGCCTGAAACGTAATAAATATTTTCTATACATGACTTGGCGCACCACATTTGGAATATTAAGACTTATTTTAGTGGTTCATTAAGTCTTATTCAACCAAGAAGTGAAATTAAACAAGTCGTTTAAAAAAGGGTGCAAGTATCGAACGATACCACGTCAGTAATCGATACCGATACCGCTGTTTGTGGTATCGCTGGTATCGAATACCGAGTACTCAGTATCGCCCATCACTAAGTGAGAGCTACTTTACATTGATATCAGTAAATGGTTAGACTTTCGCGTTTTCTCGGATAAAGACATTAAATCGTAGGTACCTTGGATCCCCTAACATGAAATCTGTTCACCATTGAGTGAGAAAGTCGACAAACTCGAACAACAAAACCTTAAATACTCATTGCATCGCTTTATTTCAGCAAAAAGAAAGAACTGTGGCTTACGTTCGCACTTTCTTACGACAACCTGATGAAGATTTTAGCCCGGAAGAAAACGAAGTGCGACAAGTTGTGGCAGAATTTTTGAAGAACGTGGAAGATCAAAAACCTGAGAATTCCGACAGCGATTATTTTTCACAGGTGAATTATATATACATGTTGAAGGAATCCGAACCTTAGGCGCAGAGGTGAAAGACATAAGCACGAACAAAAGTTTACATTGTCATGCTTACCACTTTCTTTGCAGAGAGAACTGGAATGGAAGAAACAAGATCATAACAGCAAAATACAGTGGGAGAACAAGAAAGAAATTGAACGGAAAAGGTATCAAATATTTCTTTCAATGGACCATTTGCATTATAGACTAAATTTTGATCTAGACAAAAATTTCACCACAGCTTGAAAGAGCATCACAAAATTAGTAATATTCCAAAGCTTCGTTGCGAAATGTTGTAAAATGCGGATAATATAGCCTTGCGAAATTTGCAATTTTCAGTTATTTTGTATTACAAACGGGAAATTGATGCCCCAACACACGATTGGGCTGTCAATTTCCCGTGCGTAATACAAAATGACTGAAAAACGGCAAACTTCGCATGGCTATAGTATCCGCATTTTACAACATTTCGCAACGAAACATTGGAATATTACTAATTTTGTGATGCTCTTTCAAGCTGTGATGAAATTTTGTCTAGATCAAAATTTAGTCTATAATGCAAATGGTCCATTATTCCTCATTAATTTAATTAACTATTGAAACTTCAATGTCCCATTGTTAGGAATGTTACGTTTGGGAATAAGCCAACGCTCTACCGAAGGCATCCTTTAAGCCTTCTCTTCGGTACATAAAAATTTATAGTCTCCCAAATGTTTTTTTTTCAGTGGCGACCAAGAGTTCATTCAACTTTGTCAGCGAATCATGTCAGATGCAATGGAGGTCACTAGAGTTTGTGTAGATGTCCAGGACAAACAGCGACAAAATCTACTCAAACATGTCAAGAGTGCGTTATCCAACGATGTTCAAAGCCACAAATTATGGCAAATGCTTATCATGCAAGTCACACACGAGAGGTGGGGTTGTTTACTAAGTTATGATTTGTAGGGGTATTGGTGTTAAACTAAAGCCTAGTGGTCAAACGAGAACGAGAGTTGAGAAGGGAAAGTTTGCATGAGAGTTTTCTCAACTCTTATGGCATGGTCAAACAAGAACAAGAGTACCATGAGAGTTGATGAGAATTGAGAAGCGAGAGTTTGCATGAGAGTTTTCTCATCTCTCATGGCCTGGTCAAACGGGAACAAGAGTTGCAGAAGAGTTGACTGGATATTACTGCGCGCGTAGCGAAAACTCTGATCATCTCTCATCAAATTTGTACCAGTTCAAAGTTGATGAGAGTTGAATAGAATGCATGAGAGTCGATAAGAGTTGGCGGGTAAACGCGAGCGAAAGTTGCAAATCCCGAAGAAAGCCTGCAGTGTTTGGTGAAGTCAAACTGAAAGCACTCTTCTCTCATGTGAATGAGGTGGAATAATAATCACAAAACTGTACGTTGCGCATGCAGAAGTAAAACCCTAATCGCGGAAGGTTAAAGACATGTACACACACACTTGCCACACAATACCAACATTTTCAATTGTAACTCTTCTTTTTAGAGCTATCTGGCATGACAAGGAATTCTTCCCGACATCTTGGCAATTGGACAGAACAGAAGGACCATGTAGGGTTCGATGTCGTTTACAACGTTGTCATTTGGATATTGACGAGAAATTCTTTATACCAGAGTATAAGAAAACACGTAAGAAAACGTTTTCACTAAGCACTATCGACTTTCTACAAAAAATTAAATAAATAAATTTACCCACTCTTTCGGTATTAATTCTTTAAAAAATTAAACTACTTTTGTAACCTGTCAAAGTAAAGTGTTTTTTTTTTTTGTTATATGTGGTCGCTTAGCAAATATTTTGTTGTTTCTGGTTCACAAAACTCTTGTCGAGTGTTTGTACCGCCATCAGTATTGTTTTCTCTACTCGCCGTATATAAGCTGATATACGGCGAGTAGCTCAGCCAATCAGATTGCAGAATAGTTCATATTGTCATGGTGGATGAGTATATTATAATACCTATTACCTATTTAATATTTTTACGTTTTTCTTCAGAAACCAACATAATCCCTCTATCGTATCTCTTTGATGAACCAGTTGGCGAACCATCATCGAAAAATGTTTATCACATTTTTAACACCACAGATACGATATGGTAAGGTTTAGAATCTTTATTACTACTGGTTTATTCATCTTATATTTAACTGATCCTGCTTGCGTTATTCTAGCTTTTTGTACCGTTGTAAGAGTATAATGCCGTCAAGAAAAGTTCCAGGAGAAATTCTTATAGGTACGTCAGTTATACATGAAAAATTGACTGTTACACACATAAAAACGCACAAGTTGTAACAAACCTGCAGCAGTCTTGTAGCAATGCTGTTCCCAGCTTGTTCAGCTCAACAGACTTGTTACAAGTTGTTCCGACAATTTGTAATCGTCCTGTAATTCATCAATTTTCCAACAAGTTGTGAGTGACAACCTTGTAGCAACTTGATAAAATAGCAGCACTGTTACAACTTGTTGGTAAGTTTGTTACAAGCCTGTTGCGAACACATCTTGTTGACAACATGTTATATTTTTACGTGTGTAGTTTAGGCGTTTTAACTTGATCTCCTTGAAACTTTTTTCTTTTACAGGGGAGAAACGAGTGTATTTTGTTGGAGAGGAAAGCGATACCAACGTTAATACGGCACAGGTAACTCCAAATTAATTCTTATAGTTAGGTGTGTGAATTATGTAACCTCATCATAAGTCTATGTTAAAAATATAATCGAACTATGTAATTTGCAATAATTCTAGTTTTTCCTCGATGACGAAGATATCACTTCAATCTCGTGGCTGTTTCAAGAAATTCGTGAAATTCTCAGAAGACGTTATGCGCTGAAGGTATGTAATCGCAGGAACGTATTTTTCTCAGAATTAATGCCCTTTTAATTTTGCATAACATTTATGTCATCAAGGCAAGATCCAGTGATCGGAATGTTTCATGTAATCTTTCAACATGTGAGCAAAATAAAGCAATATGGTTGGCTAATCTACTCATGAATTATTAATGAATTTGAGATTGTCTTGTCATTGTTTTGAAAATCTCACTGTCCTCCATGGCCATGCCATCTTGTGGCGAAGAGCGTACTAACTGAATAAAAAGTTCTTAATCATTTTCTCATTCAATATAGGATAACGCTTTAGAGATCTTCCTTACAAATGGTCGGACTTTCCTACTTGCTTTTGAAACAACAAAAGACAGAGAGACTGTCTATAAAGAACTTCTTGGCAAAGAACTGCCAAATTTAATCACGACCACTGAAAACGTAGCTGATCTAACACAGAGGTAATATTAATTTATCGTATCATATCGTATTGCATATTTGACTGAGGATTTGTAGATGAAGAATTTGTACATGGAAATTTCGAACTTGCGGCCTATTCCAATTCCATTCTGTTCCATTTTATTGTGGCAGTTTCTTAAAGAAATTATGTTTTACTTTCAGATGGCAGAATGGTGAACTAACAAACTTTGCATATTTGACTGAGCTTAACAAACAATCTTGTCGTTCCTTTAATGACCTCATGCAGTACCCAGTGTTCCCTCTGGTCTTGGCTGAATACAAATGTGACGTGTTGGATTTGACTGACGTTTCTGTATATAGGTAAGCTTTTTAAAGAAACTGCCATGGTTGGTGTATGAACTACATAAGACCATTAAAACATTGTTTCCAGCATATAGGCATTTGAGTGAGAGGTAATTTTAGTCAGAGCAATAATGGTACTGTAGTTTCATTTGTGATAAGGGCGAACGCTTATTAATCTTCGACGAAGATTCTTCGCTAGAAGTGTTCTAATCTTTTTCAGGTTCTCGAGACAAAAACCATGTTACCTTATTTTAGAGAGGTTAAGCTTAGATACTTCTTCTACTACTACTACTACTACTACTATTAAGGGACCACTAACCAATCAGATGCGTTTGATATATCCAATTAACCAATCAGATACGTTTGATATATCTAGTTAACCAATCAGATGCGTACTATAGCCAGTGAGTGGTAGCAGTAGTAGAAGTCAAATCTGAACCTCTCTTTTATCCACACTGGACTTTTACATTAATCAAGAAATTTTTTGTGTAGAGATTTATCTAAGCCAATTGCTGTTCAGAATCCAAAAAGAGTTCCAAAGTACCAGGAAACGTACAGGGTAGGAGAAGCATTACAGTCTTTTTCCGCTGCAGTTCATTTTCTGTAAACTAATTACCTTATACGTGATATACAATATTAATATCTGTAGTGTAGAAATGTATTTTGGCGTGTAAAGTTATTTTGTCAATTCATCTTGTTTTACTTTAAACTCGTATTTTTTCAGAGTTTACAAGAACAATATGACATCTCGAAGAAACTTGATCCAATGAACTGTATCCCTCCTTATCATTATGGATCCCATTATTCCAACAGTGGTACCGTGTTACACTTTCTGGTTCGACTGGTGCCTTTCACCAAGATGTTCTTAACCTACCAAGGTCTGATTGTTGTCCCTTTGTGATCTAATAGAGCTATTCAATATAATAAAATTTAATTAGCTTAGGGTTTCTCCTATAATAACGCTTTAGCAATAAGGGGATGGTTTTTACTAGACCTCTAGGAAGAACAATTTCCAAGTTATAGAGTTTTCCACTTTAAAATTAAATGAGATCCGGTTTAGTGATGATAATGATATAATGATGATAATGTTCATTTAGATAAACAGTTTGATGTTCCTGATCGAACATTTCACGCCATTGAGACAACATGGAATCTGTCGTCATTTGCCTCTGCCCCGGACGTGAAGGAACTTATCCCTGAGTTCTTTTTTCTGCCCGAGTTTCTCCTTAATTCTGAAGGTAAAAGAGTCTTTTTACATACTTGAAGATAATGCCAGTTTTAACAGGTTGTAAAACTGACTAAACTGTATCTTGTTAGGCTTTGATTTTGGTATCAGACAAAATGGCGAACGTGTAATGGATGTCCGTTTACCTTCTTGGGCTTGCAGTGATCCACGCTTGTTTACTCTGATCCACAGACAGGTAGAGTAAAATTATTGAATATTTCCAAGGGATGTTGGCGCGCAAGTGTTGAGTCCGTATGCCTTGCATCTCTGTCAGAGGCGTTCGATTCCTGCTCTATACAGTTGTCTGAGTGTGATTTTTCTTCAGTTACACTTGAGAAGAGAACGCCGGTTTTCCCTGGGTACTTGGATTTCCTCCTGTAGTAATACTTGACCAATAAAGGATGGCTTTTACTGGACCTCTAGGAAGCACAGTTTAGAGAAAGAGCTATCCAGTGTGAATAAAGTTAGTTTACTTTAGGTTTCCTCCTGATGTAACACTGGATCTATCAGGGATGACCCTTACTGGACCTCTTGGAAGAACAGTTTAGAACTGATAGAGCTACCGAGTGTGAATAAAGTTAGTTTAATTTACCGCACTTTATCAATAATGGATGGCTCTTACTGAAAAATCTCTGCAAAGAACAGTTTAGAATTGGTACAGCTGTCCAGTATAAATGAAGTTTACACAGAGTTTACATTTTTTTGCAGGCATTAGAATCGGATGTGGTATCGTGCAGAATCAACAAATGGATTGATTTAGTTTTCGGCTTTAAACAAGAAGGCCAAGCTGCAATTGACGCCATTAACGTTTTTCATCCATCGGTAAGATAAAAAACATTAACAGCTAAGACTAATAAGTATAAATGCTAACCTGAATATCAGACCTATATTCAAATTAGAATTTATAGGAGAGGCGTGCCGGCTACAGGTGCGGGCGAAAAGGCGACAAAATATATAAATGCTATAAGTAGTATTACCCCCTGGCCCCCCTATAGCGGCGGAAGTAATTAGTATTCATACGAGTATCATGATGTCATACCTATTACATGACGTCATAGGGCATAGTGTGTGTGCGTACAGGGGCGTACGTACGGGGGCGTGCGTACAGGGGTCTACGTACGGATTATTCGGGGGCATACAACCTTGTAAGCGAAAATGGCCCTGGCATCGCCTGCTCGATTCTATAATCCTATTGGCCTGTACTGAACAAATAATTTTGACACTGATTATTTATTCATCACCGAATTTTTTGTCTTTATGCATGTCTTCAAATTTTATTGCACTTTTAGACAATCTATTTGGTTAAAAGCAGCTTTATATCTATTTTATTTATTTTTATTGTGATTTATAAACAAGGATACTGAAAGAATTTTACTAGCAAACTGCTTTATAAACAATAATTCATACGAGCAGACAGGCACAGGGTGTTAGCTAGCCCATATACTGTCCGTCAAACGGACTCTTCAGGGATGCCGGAAGATCGATAATTCGGGGTGCAGATATTCATATATTCCTGTTCTGCCCAATTAATTTCTTTTGAAATCGATTGTTTTTACAGTCTGTGAACACGAATATATGAATTAATATCTGCACCCGCTATTATCGATCTATTAGCTAAGGAGCTTTCCCAACTGGGTCTACTGGAAGATTTTCATTTTTTCTGATGAGAAAGTGCATTGCGTTTGATTTTTATATTATTTTATATTATTATATCAAAGAACGTTTTATTTACTTTTTCCATTAACTATTTTCTCAAAATGTATCGCGTTTCACTCATATTGGGCGTGTATTCACTGAAATGAAATGTACAAAACAAAGTGTAATCGGTGTGCATCCGTGTTCATTCACCGGAAATGAAATATACAAAACGAAGTACCATCGGATGCATTTTTGAGTGTTCATTCACTGGAAATGAAATGTACAAAACCAAGCTACCGTTGTTTGCATCTAAGGAGAAACACGTTGGAAAAAACAATATTTATTCCTACACAAGGACTTCGATCGGCCAAAAAAACTTTCCCAATTTACGTTTAACGGGCAAAACTTTTTTTTCTGGCTAACACCCTGAGGCAGTCAATAATTAAACACTAATTTATTATTCAAGTAAACAAGAACCGCATAAATTAAGACATCCAAACACCCAGTATTGTGAGTGTCATGTGACCAGCCGATGCCAGCAGGGTGCTCCATTTACTGTTTTAGAACATTTGGAACACTGTTCTGGAACGATGTGTAATGAAGCGCACACACTGTTCTGGAACAGTGTTCAGTTTACTATATATGCGTGCAACCATAGTTAATAGAATAGATGGTTTGGAAACTCATTAGAATAACTATATATTAGAATAACTATAAATCTGGTCGTTCACCATCACGTGCATATTGTATTTTTACCCAACTAACCAATAGCAATGTCTTAAGAAAGTTACCTATCCGTGACTCGAACAATAGGGTAAATTGGAAATTGCTATTGGTGTATTTGGCAAAAATACAATACACACGTGACGGTGAAGGACCAGATTTATGAATAAACGTTGACTAACATAGATAATGAGTTATATTGTTATTCTAATGAGTTTCCAAACCATCTATTCTATTAACTATGGTGCAACCATATGCATTACTATATTCATTACTTAACCATTTCCATCTTCATTTGGATGATCCAAGGCAGACGCGATATGAACGTGTTTGCTTTGAGGTATAATCTTACAGCGATCAATTTTAATCATTATTTGCCTTTAAACAATTCTTACTTCCCTCTTGCTGCCCTAATGCAACTATCCTACTCCTACATGACCCTATCCTCAATCCCTTGGTACCAACGTGGAACTGCCTCCTCCACAGCCCCTCGTTGCGTCATGGGAAGGTCACACACAATCTGTAAAAGAAATGGCGCCGGCGTCAGGGTCACGTCAACAAATAAATTTATACATAAATATAGGATATTACACGGCGGCGCGAAGATATGACTTTTATCTTCGAGTGGTGAAAGCAATATTGACGAATGAGCGCAGTGAGTGAGTAAAATATCGTTTCTTCAAGCCACCGTGTAATGTTTCTGTTTATTATATAATCCCAAGTAAAAAATTGTGAAATTTCACGCTCAAAAGCAAATTGGAAAAAGTCACGTGATCGATATCTTCGCATTTTCAGTATCTCACTCTTTACTATATACTAATCTTGAATATATACAGGATATAAATAAGCGGCGTGAAACTTATAAATTAAAATGGCCCAGCGAAAATGAAAAATGAAAATGAAAAACGGTTAAAGTACTAATAAATGTTTACGTGTAAAATAATTTTTTCAATGTTTTGTTTTTAAAATTTCTTTTCGCTTTCACCATTTATTCATTTTGCAAGATTCACAGGCCCTCTCGATTCTCGAAATCTTGGCCTTCCCATGACATAACAAGGCCCTGCGGTGGTCGGTGGAAGGACGTGGAATAGATGATTCCCCTTATTACGTTTTCGTAGCGCTTTGCATTGTGGTTATAGTGGTATTACTGATAAAGATAGCGGCCTCGAATGAAAATATTGAATGTTTTCGCGAATATTTTGCTGTTGGCTATCGTGCACCGGACCCTAGCTTTTTTTAAAAGTTCTTGAACGGGTCAGGACAAAAAATAAGTTCTTGAATATCAGTGATCTATTCCCGGAATGCGAACTCGAGAGTAAAATTGAAATTGCAAATTTTCACATCATATTTCACTTTCACTTTAGTTTACAAGTAAGCTGCATTTGTACTACATTAGCCTTTATAATTAGTCCTGTGTAGTCTCTCTTTGTTGTCGGACACAGCTTTATAAAACGAACTGTCTAGAACGATTATACTTGGATCAAGTAATCATTGCGGATAAAATAGAGCAATTAACAGGTTCGTCACGTCGTTCTACTGTCTTCTACATTATACAAAGGGTAGACGGATTAGTTGACGAGAAGAGTGCGCATGGATGATGAAATTGATCTTTCAGTTACCGTAGAGCAGCTAAGAGCAGCGGGAACTGATCTATCAAAACAAGTACCGGCTCTTCTGAAGCTTGGTGAGTGGTACTTGAAGAAGGCTCAGACAACTTCAAATGGCGCTGATTTTACCAAAGCCAACGCACTTTACAACGCCGCCCTTGTCAGGTCTAGACGTGTAAACCATGAAATAGACGAAGACCAAATACTCAGACAAATCGTTGAGACTTATTGCGAATATTTGTACGCATTTGTTAATACTGGTGATGAAGTCAGTGTAGACGAGATTCGTCATGAAATCGATTCTCACAAGGAGTTTCTTGCCAACGAGAGAAGGATTTTCAAAGAGCGTGTTGATGAAATCGATTCTTGCTTTAATACGAATGATAAAACAGAGGACCAATATCAGGTAAACGAAAATTAACTGTTTAAAGAAGTGATTTGTCTTAACTTTGTCACATTTAAAAAAATATTTAATGAAACAATGAGCCGTCCGCCATCTTGAATTACTAATGTTGTGACGTCAATAATATAATTATCGGTATCACACTCAAATTGATGTTGATTACCTTTTCTCGAAGCCTTTCGTTGTTATATTCACTTGACAAAGCAAGGAAATATGCGCGTGAGAATTCTTCATGTTTGAGTGACGCTCGTGCGCGTGGCGCTCGCACATACAAGTCTTTGACATTATATGATATGATATGATATTATAATGTCATTATATTAAACCGAAAAGACTTGTATGTCAGCGCCACACGTGCGAGCATCACGCGAACGTGAAGAACTTTCGCGCGTATGTTTCCTTGCTTTATCAAGTGAATAAAACAACGAAAAGCTTTGAGAAAAGGTAATCGATATCAATTTTTGGGCCGCCTATGATCCAGCAATGTATTACTGACTTATAACTGGGAGCAGGGTTATAACTTCTATTTTAAAAATGCAAATTAATTCATTGACTGCTATTTTATAGTATTTTACTTACTAACAAGAAGAAAAATGCAGTTCACTGTTATTTTGTAATGTTGAACGAATATGACCTGTTTCTGTTTAAGATCCATGCAGATCAAGTGCACGACGTGTTTCGAGACATTCAAGATATGTACACCAGGCTCGTGTCAATGCTAATCAAAGAATGTGAGAGTAGACTTGGGAAACCACCGTGTGACTACGCCATTATCGCCCTCGGCTCGGTAGCACGTATGGAGGCAACACCTTTTTCAGATTTGGAGTTTGCTATTCTATACTCGGACTCAGCTATTGCAGACAAGATTAACTACTTTCGAGTAATGAGCCATTTTTTTCATTTGAAAGTTATTAATCTTGGAGAGACCATCCTACCAGCTTTGGGGATTGAAAAGCTCAACGATTTTCAGTCCACAGACCCCAATAGTAATTGGTTTTATGACTCGGAAACGCCTCGAGGCATTTCGTTTGATGGAGCAATGCCATGGGCATCAAAAACCGCGCTAGGAAGAATGGCAACGAAGGATAAACCTGCATTAGAGTTGATCAGAACCCCAGAAGGGATGGCCGAATTCCAAGATGAAGAAATTGCTTTGAAAGAAGGTTATCATTTGGGTAAGGAAATATGTTGCTAAACAAGAAACATAGCTGGTAGATACACAATTAACATTCTTGTCCTTACTGCTGAGTTATCACTCCTATATTGTAATTTAGTAGTAGTATTTGATGGATGAGCTACTCTAACTTGATTTACTTGGAATTTGAAAACTCTTGTAAAATTTTTGTTCGTTCTCTCGTTAGATGAAAACTCTTGTACAATTTTTGTTCATTCTCTCGATTTTACTTTCTCACAAAAAACTAAAACCCTTCCACGTTGATCGTTATCCAGGAGCGGATCTATATAATTATATAAAATAAATATCGGATAAACGATACATCTATAATTTTGAAATTGAGTTCAGTTTTTAAAATTTAGCTCGCTGTTTTAGTTTGTGTATTTCGGTACGTCTGTTTCTTTCAAAACTTCAGAAAAGAAAACTGTTATTGGTCTGGACAAGATTTCTGAAGAAATACTTCCAATAAGTTCTTTGTATGTTTGCATGGCGATAAAACATATAATAGTTTTGCTTGTGGAAACACCACGTAAATTTATTACTGTAAAGCTTTTGATCCATAAGCCCGGATCTTTATCAGTGCTAATAATATGTTATATCATTAGCACTGATGAAGATCCGGGCTTACGGATCGAAAGCTTTGCAGTAATAAATTTACGTGGTGTTTCCACAAACAAAACTATTATAAATACTTCCAAGTTTATAAACAAACTGTTGGGAAGTTTGCATTGAATTTTAAGTTAACCTATAAGGTTAAGCTAACTGGTTTTTGACCAACTGACCCCAGGAGTTTTGCTTCTTTACCAGCCTGAGGCACCGTATATAATGTATTTTGCATGATCATTCTTAGACTGCGTTCATTACATTGAGGTGCAAGATAGGTCAACGGGCACTCAATCTTATTTTTGCCAAATGTATGAATGTAGTTACACTTTATCTTCTTGAACTTAATAAAATACTATGTAGTATTTACACTGCTGATTATGTTTTTTATCATTTAGCTGATATTATGTCGAGAGCTGCTTTACTTTATGGAGACCAAGCCTTACTGACCGAGTACAACGAACGCGTGGCTAAAAAATTAAATGCAAAATCATCGGAAACAGAAGAGGAGTCTACTAAAACAGTAGGCGTTATTCGAGGAATGCAACAACTGATGGTTGATGTTGAGACCTATGATCCATACAATTCCTACCTTGGAATGTATTGTACTCTAGGTGGTCTTTTCGATGCTAAGAAACAATTCTACCGTCTCATCTCGCTACTTATTTCAGATTTGGGAATGATATTCGACATTAGATCTCCCTCACCCTGGCAGGTGATTTCTGAGTTGCAGGCTCGAGGAATAACTTCTGTGTCCGAAAGTGTCAATATCAAAGTGTGTTTATCGATTGCTAATGAAATACGGCTGAAAACATACTTTGCTAACAATGGACAGAAAGAACTATTCTCTCCTGTTCCTGAATATGTGAACACTGCTGAACAATTTGTCGATGTCCCTATTTTCCGAGATTTTGATGAAGATATCTTAGTCCGCCTTCTAAGTTCAAGTAGTGATATGTGCACACGTTGTAATGAGTTTTGTGTGAAGTGGATTCGACAAGGCAAGATCGATGACAGTGTATTTCGGAATGCATCCCGTGCAATCTCGAGGGGATTGCTATTCGGGTTTCTTTATTTTCGGCTGCAAAATTTGCATAAAGCGTTGGAGTGGATGAAATCTGTCTCCAATGATAGTCCGGACTACAATGATAGTCAAAATGGTCAGGGTCATATTTATTTTCAATTTGGAGAATATGACAGGAGCGTTGAGTGTTTTGAAGAAGCGCTGCAATGCTTTTACCCAGGCTTCCTAGTATGCATTGGTGACCTAGGATTTGCACTACTTCAGATGAGAAAATATAAAATGGCCGCAAGTAGGTTTGAAGAAGCGATTTGTATACATGATGATATCTATGGCGAAGGATCTCAGACAATCGTTCTCGCCAGCTTAATGCAAAAACTTGGCTTAGCTTATTACGAGCTTGGCGATATGGGTTTAGCTATTAAAACTTTTAAAGCAGTTCAAGAGATGCAAAAAAGATTCACGAAAGTTCCTGATGAGCAGGTGATTCTTCTAAACGTTTTCATGGCTTTATCGTTAAGTAAAGTCGATCAACATGAACAAGCACTGGAATATATAGAGCGAGCGTTACGGCTTAGTCATAAGGTGTATGGTTCAAACAATGTCAATATAAATTTGGCTCGAGTTTATAACATTGCAGGCTTGATCTATGCTCGTAAACTGAGTAACAAAGCTGTGTCTTTCTTCGAACGATGTTTAGAAATTCATCAACGTCTATTTGGCGACAATCCTCACCACGGTAAGATCTTAGGTGGCTCCTTGCAATTTTTAAGAAATATAAGATTTACGATCCAGATCCGAATTTTTGGACGATTGTTACTTGTTGAAGAGCAAGGAATATTTTACTTATACTATTTAATTTTAATTTGCCATGATAATACATAAACTAAACAGACAGACATATATAAAGTACAAAGTGGCAGGGTTACCGCAACACGATTACGCTCAATTACTGCGGGCCCCAAAATACCTCCTTACAAACATCTAAAAAGTTATTTTACAAACATCCAAGCTTTACTTATTTACAAACATCCAAAAAGCTCGAAATTATCCCAGCAACGTTAATCAACTTGTTTTTACTTTCAGGTAAAATAGAGGCAGTCACGAATTTGGGAATATTCTACGATAAAATACATCAAACGGACAAAGCTGTGAAGAATCTAGAAATCGCTTTAGAACAGGCGAGAAGTTTCTATCATGAAAAACCTCATGTAATTGTTGCTGAAATACTGTCTTCACTTGGAGAGGTTCTAGATAACACTGGAAAGTTCCAGGAATCACTTACATATTTTGAGGAAGCGAAAAAGGTTATGGATCAGATCCTGGGACCAGACCACGCGCATCCTCTCACTTCAAGTATACTTTATTACATGGGAACAAGTTATGTAATGCTTAATGATTTATTCAAAGCTCTTCAGTGTTTTAAAGATGCCTTCAACATGAACTCCATACTTTATGGAGAAAGAGGAGAAAATGGAGAAAATGGCAGCTGTGGTAACATGATGGGTGTCTGTTTAAATCTCGCCTTGACGGCAGAGTTCTTGGGCATCTTCGGCTTAGCTAAGAAATTTTATACCAAAACGGTTAAAATCAAAAGACAATATGTCTTTGCCAAAAATACATATTCCGGACAATCTAGTGTAAGCGATGTTCTTGATTTTGTACACTGTCTGTACCGCCTAGGCGGAGCTTGTGAAGTCCTCGGAGAGCGAGATGAAGCGTTAAAGCATTTAGAAGAAGCGAGAAAGATTGCAAAAGATGCTCCTTTTAAGGATTGGTTAGTCGTAAGTGTATTTGTCCAGTTAATCAAGAAATATGCTAAGATGGGGTCCATTATCAAAAGCATAATGTGTTACCTAGAAGCTGGAGAGATGGCAAAGAGCTTACCTAAAGATGATTCTCTTCCACCCTCAACATTGGACATGCTCAAATTAATGAAAATTTAGCTAACAAAAGCTTTAAAAAACAAGTGTTTACAGTCGTGTATTACCGTACACAAATTGTACAACAGCAAGCAAACCACCTTCCGTTTCAATATCTTACTTTGATAGTACAAACCAGTTTAAGTACTCGTGTTTGTTGTCAATGTATATACACTGTATGTTATTGTTATTCACCATCTGTGAAGATTTCTCAGTTGCCCTTTCGATAGCTTGCTGCAAAGTTTAAGAACTAGCTAAGAATAAATATACCGAATATTGCTGTGGTGAGGAATATTAAAATAATTTATATTAAAACTATTCAAGTATGTCAGTACTGTGATGTGAATTTAATTGCCTAGTCAGGCTAGTGTAACGCCATATTGCAATTCGCCAGGTATGCTATTTGTGTCCTTGAATTTCGTTCCTTCATCACATTGCGGTTGCTTCGTAGATCTCCAGGCCACTATGGCTTTTTTCAAACAGGTAATCTGTGTCTTCATGGCAGAAGAAATTACAGCTTGGACTTTGACCGCAGAACCAAAACGAGCCATTTTTCGTTGTCGAGCAGGATGCTGGTTCTCCATGTAAACACTTCATCTTCATCTTTGTTAGGGGCCGATTATTATATGGAGCATTTTCAACCCCGGGGTTGAATTCAGCCCTGTTAACCGGGTTGAAATTTTTTGCGATTACATGGACGATTTCAACCCTGGGGACGGGGTTGAAACGTTATACTATACGTTCTCGGCATCGATTCGCGAAAGTAAAAAAAGCCTTTATTTTGTTTTCTTGTAATAAATAGTCACTACCACGCATGCTCGAATAACTCATGATCATTTCAGCCCTGGGTTGAAACGATTACATGACAAAATGTTAGCCCTGGGTTGAAAATTTTGTCATGTAATCGCGCGTTTGATTTTGATAGAGTTTTGTATTACAGACAGGGCTGAAATTTCAACCCGGTAAACAGGGCTGAGTTCAACCCCAGGGTTGAAAATGCTCTATGTAATCGGCCCTTAGCCTTGTTAAGTTCTCCTCATGAAAGTTGTGAACAGAATAACAAGTATCATCCATCTCAATTTATACTCTTTGGCTAATGACGTAACATGGTCTGCGCACGCACGCAATGTACGCACTCTTATGCATGTACATTAAAAAGGCTGAGTAGGTCGAAGCATCAGAGGTGAACTTAAAATGAATACCTTCAAACCTAACGAGCAAGTATTCTGGGCAAACCCAGGGCATTTTGCCCGTCAGCGAAAATGGCCCTGTTGTCGGCTGCTCGATTCTATAATCCTATTGGCCTGTACAAAGTATTAATTCTGACGCTAATAATTTATTCATCACCATGTGAAAGTTAGGAATTTCTTGCCTTTATGATGTCTTCAAATTGTACTGCACTTTTAGACAATCTATTTGGTTAAAAGCAGAGCTACATTCGTTATGCCTTGGTTCATACTATTTGCGATTTATAAACAAGGATACTGAAAGAATTTTACTAGCAAACTGCTTTATAAACAATAATTCATACGAGCAGACAGGCAGTCAATAATTAAACACTAATTTATTATTCAAGTAAACAAGAACTGCGTAAATTAAGACATCCAAACACCCAGTATTGTGGGTGTCATGTGTCCAGCCGATGCCAGCAGGTGCTCCATTTACTCTTCTAGAACATTTGGAACACTGTTCTGGAACGATGTGTAATGAAGCGTGTAACCATATGCATTACTACTGCTGATAATTCTGCCGAAATTGTTAACTTGTTCAACAGGTAATTTACATCTGTATTCTCCAGTGACAGTTCACCTCACTGTGCTTGTAAGCCAGATGATACCCCGAATATAACTGATGTAAATCTAACTGTGTACAAAATTCAAGCTGTCCTTGAAGCGCTGGATGTTACAAAAGCAACAGGCTCAGATGGAATCCCCGCTAGACTGTTAAAGGAAACAGCCGAAGTCATAGCTCCATCCTTGTGCTGCCTCTTCAACAAATCTCTCAACACAGGCACCTTACCTGACGAGTGGAAACTTGCAAATGTTGTACCAATACACAAGAAAGGCAACGCTGAATACACAGAGAATTATAGACCTATATCTTTACTACCCATAGTGTCCAAAGTCTTAACAGCATTAAATGCCATCTCCACCAGCTAGTCCACAGTAGTCAACATGGGTTTTTCACGGGAAAGTCATGCACAACCAACCTTATCGAAGCACTAGATAACATCGGCTCCCTCCTGGATAGTGGTAATCAAATAGACGTGATCTATTTAGACATGTCTAAAGCCTTCGATAAAGTTAATCATGAGCTGCTGCTTTCCAAACTTAGCAAACTTGGATTTGGAGGTGGCCTACTACAATGGTTCCGGTCCTACTTGTCTAATCGGCGACAGCGCGTTACCGCCCTCGGTGCTACATCTAACACCTTACCTGTAACCTCTGGGGTACCCCAAGGCTCCATACTAGGTCCCATATTATTCCTCTTATATGTTCATGACCTACCCGGTCTCGTCAAATCCAGTCAAGTCGCTATGTTCGCAGATGATACGAAAATATTTAAGTCTATCGCATCAATAAACGATACGAAATTACTCCAACAGGACTTATCCAACTTAGAATCCTGGTCTTCGACTTCCGGTCTCCCCTTCAATCAAAGTAAATGTCGGTCGCTGTCTATCACTCGTAAAACGAAGCCAGTGGTGACTACATACAAGATGAAGGGTGAAACTCTAGAAATGACAAAATCGGAACGAGATCTTGGCGTCTGGATGTCAACTGATCTCACCTGGAATAATCAAGTAGTAGAACAATCTTCCCGTGCTAACAAGTCTAACAAGTTGCTAGGTTATATCAACGCACGGTTCATTCAAAACACCAGCGTGAGGAGGGCATTGTATTTAACATTAGTACGCCCTCACTTAGGATATGCCACCCAGATCTGGTCGCCACAGTCCATCAACCTAATTGCAAGATTGGAAAAAGTTCAAAGGCGTGCCACGAAATTTATTCTCAATCTGCCGTTTTCCAGTCCAGACAGTAATAAATGCAGTAATAAATTTACGTGGTGTTTCCACAAACAAACCAATTATATTTTATCGCCATGCAAACATTCAAAGAACTCATTTAAATCTACTATTCTAAGTTATTGCTTCCGTGCTTTGGAAATTTCCTACGATCCTGAAAATCCAAGAACATTCAAAACTATATGTACCAAGTGTAATACCGCTCGAACTCTGGTTCAGCCTCTTAAGTGCTGCTATTAGTTATAGTTTTATTCAGATAGTTTTTTTTTATGTTTGTATGTCCTAATTCGGGCCCGCAGTAATTGGCTCACGCTGTTGCGGTCACCCTGCCTATAGTCATGTTTTTTTCATGTATTGTAATATGGCGAAACTAAAAAAAAATTACTATATTCATTACTTAACCATTTCCATTTTCATTTTGATGATTCCAAGATAGACCGTCCAAGTATATGAACGTGTCTGCTTTGAGGTATAATCTTACAGCGATTAATTTTAATCATTATTTGCCTTTAAACAATTCTTACTTCCCTCTTTCTGCCCTAATGCTAACTGTCCTACTCCTACATGACCCTATCCTCAATCCCTTGGTACCAACGTGGAAGTGCCTCCTCCGCAGGCCCTCTTTGCGTCATGGGAAGGTCACACACAATCTGGCTAGGGCCTGCGGAATCTTGTAAAAGAAATGGCGCCGGCGTCACGTCAGCAAATAAATTTATACATAATCTTGAATATATATACAGGATATAAACATGGATTGTAAAAGAACTTTTACAATCCATGATATAAATAAGCGGCGTGAAACTTATAAATTAAAATAGTCCAACGAAAATGAAAAATAGTAAAAGTGATAAATGTTTACGTGTAAAATAAGTTTTTTAATGTTTTGTTTTTAAAAGTTCTTTCGCTTTTACCATTTATTCATTTTATAACATTCGCAGGCCCTCTCGATTCTCGAAATCGTGTGAGGCAGAACGTGGAATTCCCGTAATGCGAACTCGAGCGTAAAATTGAAATTGCAAATTTTTGTGAAGTCATCATGTTTCACTTTCGCTTTAGTTTACAAGTAAGCTGGCTGCATTACTACATTAGCCTTTATAATTAGTCATGTGTAGTCTCTCTTTGTTGTCGGACACAGCTTTATAAAACGAACTGTCTAGAACGATTATACTTGGATCAACTAATTGCGGTAGAGCAATTAACAGGTTCGTCACGTCGTTCTACATACAACAGGTAGACGGACTAGTTGACGAGAAAAGTGCGTATGGATGATGAAATTGATCTTTCAGTTACCGTAGAGCAGCTAAGAGCAGCGGGAACTGATCTATCAAAACAAGTACCGGCTCTTCTGAAGCTTGGTGAGTGGTACTTGAAGAAGGCTCAGACAACTTCAAATGGCGCTGATTTTACCAAAGCCAACGCACTTTACAACGCCGCCCTTGTTAGGTCTAGACGTGTAAACCATGAAATAGACGAAGACCAAATACTCAGACAAATCGTTGAGACTTATTGCGAATATTTGTACGCATTTGTTACTGGTGATGAAGTCAATGTAGACGAGATTCGCCATGAGATTGATTCTCACAAGAAGTTTCTTGCCAACGAGAGAAGGATTTTCAAAGAGCGTGTTGATGAAATCGATTCTTGCTTTAATACGAATGATAAAACCGAGGACCAATATCAGGTAAACGGAAATTAACTGTTTAAAGAAGTGATTTGTCTTACACTTTGTCACATTATATTTAATGAACAATGAGCGGTCCGCCATCTTGAATTACTAATGTTGTGACGTCACCATCGCGTGCTTTCGCGGGCCAAAAATTGATGTTGACTACCTTTTCTCGAAGCTTTTCGTTGTTATATTCACTTGATAAAGCAAGGAAACATGCGCGTGAGAATTCTTCACGTTCGAGTGACGCTCGCGCGCATGGCGCTCGCACATACAAGTATTCTTGATTTAATATAATGACATTTACATGTGATATGATGTTATAATATCATTATATTAAACCAAGAAGACGTGTATGTGCTAGCGGCGAGCGTTACACGAACGTGTGAAGAATTTTTGCGCGCATGTTTCCGCATCAAGTGAATATAACAACGAAAAACTTTGAGAAAAGGTAATCGATATCAATTTTTGGGCCGTCTACGATCCAACAGCGTATTACTTATAACTGGGAGCAGGGTTATAACTTCTATTTTAAAAATGCAAATTAATTCATTGACTGCTATTTTATAGTATTTTACTTACTAACAAGAAGAAAAATGCAGTTCACTGTTATTTTCTAATGTTGAACGAATATGACCTGTTTCTGTTTAAGATCCATGCAGATCATGTGCACGGCGTGTTTCGAGATATTCAAGATATGTACACCAGGCTCGTGTCAATGCTAATCAAAGAATGTGAGAGTAGACTTGGCAAACCACCGTGTGACTACGCCATTATCGCCCTCGGCTCGGTAGCACGTATGGAGGCAACACCTTTTTCAGATTTGGAGTTTGCTATTCTATACTCGGACCCAGCTATAGGAGACAAGATTAACTATTTTCGAGTAATGAGCCACCTTCTTCATTTGAAAGTTATCAATCTTGGAGAGACGATCCTACCAGCTTTGGGGATTGAAAAGCTCAACGATTTTCAGTCCACAGACCCCAACAGTAATTGGTTCTATGACTCGGAAACGCCTCGAGGCATTTCGTTTGATGGAGCAATGCCCTGGGCGTCAAAAACCGCGCTAGGAAGAATGGCAACGAAGGATAAACCTGCATTAGAGTTGATCCGAACCCCAGAAGGGATGGCCGAATTCCAAGATGAAGAAATTGCTTTGAAAGAAGGTTATCATTTGGGTAAGGTAATATGTTGCTAAACAGGAAACATAGCTGGTAGATACACAGTTAACATTCTTGTCCTTACTGCTGAGTTATCCCTCTTATATTGTAATTTAGTAGTAGTATTTCATAGATGAACCACTCTAACTTGATTTACTTTTCTCTCGTTAGATGAAAACTCTTGTACAATTTTTGTTCATTCTCTCGATTTTACTTTCTCACAAAAAACTAACCCTTCCACGTTATCCAGGAGCGGATGATCTATAATTATGTTGAAATAAATATCGGATAAATGATAGATCTATAATTTTGAAATCGAGTTTCAGTTTTTTAAATTTAATTCGCTATTTTAATTTGTGTATTTCGGCACATCCGTTTGTTTCAAAACTTCAGAAAAGAAAACTGCTATTGTCCAATAAGTTCTTTGTATGTTTGCATGGCGATAAAACATATAATAGTTTTGTTTGTGGAAACACCACGTAAATTTATTACTGCAACGCTTTCGATCCGTAAGCCCGGATCTTTATCAGTGCTAATAATATGTTATATAACGATAACGATAACGGGCACTTGATCTTATTTCTGCCAAAATATTTTTGCCAAATGGCCAGAATGTAGTTGGACTTTATCCTCTTGAACTTGATAAACTACTATGTAGTATTTACACTGCTGATTATGGTTTTTATCATCTAGCTGATATTATGTCGAGAGCTGCTTTACTTTATGGAGATCAAGCTTTACTGACCGAGTACAACGAACGCGTGGCTGAAAAATTAAATGCAAAATCATCGGAAACAGAAGAGGAGTCTACTAAAACAGTAGGCGTTATTCGAGGAATGCAACAAATGATGGTTGATGTTGAGACCTATGATCCATCCAATTCCTACCTTGGCATGCATTGTACTGTAGGTGGTCTTTTCGATGCTAAGAAACAATTCTACCGTCTCATCTCGCTACTTCTTTCAGATTTGGGAATGATATTCGACATTAGATCTCCCTCACCCTGGCAGGTGATTTCTGAGTTGCAGGCTCGAGGAATAACTTCTGTGTCCGAAAGTGTCAATATCAAAGTGTGTTTATCGATTGCTAATGAAATACGGCTGAAAACATACTTTGCTAACAATGGACAGAAAGAATTATTCTCTCCTGTTCCTGAATATGTGAACACCGCTGAACAATCCGTCGATTTCCCTATTTTCCGAGATTTTGATGAAGATATCTTAGTCCGCCTTCTAAGTACAAGCAATGATATGTGCACACGTTGTCATGAGTTTTGTTTGAAGTGGATTCAACAAGGCAAGATCGATGACAGTGTATTTCGGAATCCATCCCTTACATTCTCCAGGGGAGTGCTATTCGGGTTTCTTTATTATCGGCTGCAAAATTTGCATAAAGCGTTGGAGTGGATGAAATCTGTCTCCAATGATACTCCCGACTACAAGTATAGTCAAAACGGTCAGGGTAATATTTATTTTCAATTTGGAGAATATGACAAGAGCGTTGAGTGTTTTGAAGAAGCGCTGCAATGCTTTTACCAGAGTGGAGAGATGTCAGCCCCAGGCTTCCTAGCATGCATTGGTAGTCTAGGATTTGCACTACTTCAGATGAGAAGATATAAAATGGCCATAATTAGGTTTGAAGAAGCGATTTGTATACATAGTGATATCTATGGCGAAGGATCTCAGACAATCTTTCTTGCCAGCTTAATGCAAAAACTTGGCTTGGCTTATTATGAGCTTGGCGATATGGGTTTAGCTATTAAAACTTTTAAAGCAGTTGAAGAGATGCAAAAAAGATTCACGAAAGTTCCTGATGAGCAGGTGATTCTTCTAAACGTTTACATGGCTTTATCGTTCAGTAAAATCGATCAACATGAACAAGCACTGGAATATATGGAGCGAGCGTTACGGCTTAGTCATAAGGTATATGGTGCAAATAATCTCAATATGAATTTGGCTCGAGTTTATAATCTTGCAGGCTTGGTCTATGCTCGTAAACTGAGTGACAAAGCTGCGTCTTTCTTCGAACGATGTTTAGAAATTCATCAACGTGTATTTGGCGACAATCCTCACCACGGTAAGATCTTTGGCTCCTTGGACCTTGCAGTTTTTAAGAAATATAAAATTTACGATCCAGACCCGAAGTTTTGGACGATTGTTACTTGTTGAAGAGCAAGGAGTATTTTACTTATACTATTTAATTTTTAATTTGCCATAATAATACATAAACTAAACACACAGACAGACATATAAAGTACAAAGTGGCAAGGTTACCGCAACAGATTACGTCCTTACGTACAAACATCCAAAAAGTTATTTTACGAACATCCAAGCTTTACTTATTACATCAACTTACAACATCCAAAAAGCTCGAAATTATCCAAAAAGCTCGAAATTATCGCCAAAACGACAAGGGTTACTCCCAGCAACGTTAATCAACTTGTTTTTACTTTCAGGTAAAATAGAGGCAGTCACGAATTTGGGAATATTCTACGATCAAATACATCAAACGGACAAAGCTGTGAAGAATCTAGAAATCGCTTTAGAACAGGCGAGAAGTTTCTATCATGAAAAGCCTCATGTAATTGTTGCTGAAATACTGCATTCACTTGGAGAGGTTCTAGATAACACTGGAAAGTTCCAGGAATCACTTACATATTTTGAGGAAGCGAAAAAGGTTATGGACCAGATCCTAGGACCAGACCACGCACATCCTGTCACTTCAAGTATACTTTATTACATGGGAACAAGTTATTTAATGCTTAATGATTTATTCAAAGCTCTTCAGTGTTTTAAAGATGCCTTCAACATGAATTCCGTACTTTATGGAGAAAGAGGAGAAAATGGAGAAAATGGCAGCTGTGGTAACATGGAAGGTGTCTGTTTAAATCTCGCCTTTACGGCGGAGTTATTGGGCATCTTCAGCCTAGCTAGGGAATATTATACCAAAGCTGTTAATATCAAAAGACAATATGCCTTTGCCAAAAATACATGTTCTAGTGTAAACTATGCTTTTGATGTTGTGTACTGTTTGTACCGCCTTGGCGCAGCTTGTGAAGTCCTCGGAGAGCGAGATGAAGCGTTAAAGCATTTAGAAGAAGCGAGAAAGATTGCAAAAGATGCTCCTTTTAAGGATTGGGTAGTGGTAAATGTAATTATCCAGTTAATCAAGAAATATGCTAAGATGGGGTCCATTATCAAAAGCATAATGTGTTACCTTGAAGCTGGAGAGATGGCAAAGAGCTTACCTAAAGATGATTCTCTTCCACCCTCAACATTGGACATGCTCAAATTAATGAAAATTTAGCTAACAAAAGCTATGTAAACTCATGAATGAATTTACTGAATTTAATGTAATGAATTTAATTGCCCATATTGTAATGCGCTAGGTACGCTCATAGTTAATATAGCAGGAGAATAGTGGGAGATGAAAGATCACACTCATAAGGTATTTCTCTTCTATGCATTCTACGGTGAACAGCATAACCACTTCCGTCTCAAAACCCTTTTGCACAAACATCACATTTGTAAGCTAAAACTCCCGTATGTTTTCTACGATGTTTCGTAAAGTTACTCCAGTCCGCAAATCTTTTATCACATTCGTAAGTTTTCTCCCCAGTGTGTGATCGTTGATGTTTTTGTAAGTCTGTGAAAAACTTGTGACATATCTCACACTCATCATACATAGTTTCACGGTTGTTGAAATCTCAACACCTAAAGTTCTTTCTATAAAAACTGAGGACAAAGATGCTGCTCAGCATATTGTTCACAGTTTATACTCCCGAATAATCTGAACGTACACTCCTGTACGCACGCACCACTGATATACATGGTACGCACACCTTATGACGTCATGGGATAGGTATGACATATGACACTCGTATGAATACTAATTACTTCCACCGTTATATAGAGGGGGTAATACTACTGCTATAGATAATAGGCCCTTGGCATGGACCTACGAAATTCATTATTCACTACAGTGAATGATTGGATGGCATGGAGAACAGTGGGGGTTTTAAAACAATGAAAGGACAACGATTGCTGGATGGTTTTCCACTTCAATCGTACCGAAACGTACTGGTGAGCATGCGTAGATTGAAAAGAGGTCTATAAATCCACGTACTTCCGGGTGTATTCGCGTATCAAAATGAAAAGTTCGTCGCAAGTCAAATTTTTGGTGTATTACGGAAGTATTAACCAATCAACATTCACTAAATTTTGAAATTTAAAAATGTTCACGGTACGCTTGAAGTGGAAAACTGGCTTAAAGTCAACCGCACACGGGATCTTTTTGCTGAGGAAAAGACCTTGCGAGGCCGTTTGCTCCGTCACACTCTCTCGTCTGCCCATTGTTTTGGCTGAGTGGTTTAAGTGGGTTTAACTCGCAAGGCCATGAGATAAAAATCTGTTATGTCGAAGAAACTTGATAGCCTGTGTTCTCACGAGGTTTTTACTTCGGCCAAAAAGCCCATCTGGGAAGCAGGCTTATAGTTATGTGTTGTTCAAAGGCCTATTTCCGTAACTTAAAAGGCCCTAAAATGTATATGAACAGCTTGTGGTGTGAAGGATGTACAACTACCTGAAAAATACGAGGAGAACTTCAACGTTTCGAGCGAAAGCCTTTCGACGGGAAGTTAGTGGCTAACTAGTTTCTCGACAAAAGAGCCTTCGCTCGAAATGTCGAAGTTCTACTCATATTTTTCAGGTTGTTGTATATCCCTGACACCACAGCTGTCGTCTCTACCTATAAAACTGGCACCTATGTACACTACATGCATACGTCATGTCGTTGACTTTGGCTCGCTCTAAGCTCTAACTTTTCATGGGGCTCATGAGCTAGACCGCTGCACCTCCACTAAATTTTTTTCCACCTCCCTCACTATTTCCACCAAAATCCGGCCTTGTTTTAGACCTACGTTGGTGGTATTGATGAGAACAGACTTCACGACCCAGTACAACGCAAAGCAGTTCAAACAATGATAGAAACATATGGACAAACACCTGCCAGATTGTTCTCAGAACCACATCCTGATAAGAAACGAATTGGTTTGGATCACTACTCGTCATGGAGCGGGACGTTTGGTGATACTGATTATTCCTTAAAGACCCCCATTGAACGGACTCAACGTGGACTCCTGCATGGTGAGGGTTTGACTTGATAAATGTTGCTCCAAAAAATTGTTATTCTTATTTTAGATTGCGTTTAAAGGGGCAGTGTCACGGTGCTGATTGGCTAAAATAAACGGCGCAAAGAAACGTTTCAAATTAATGCTAGCCCTACATGATTGGAAAAGATGCAACAGCCTTCAATTTTTAAAACAAAGCAAGGATATGTCCTGCATAACGAAGGGATTATGAATAGTATATTGTATTTCACTCCTAACTTGATTGTTGGCAGACAGTTTTTCAAGTTCGCGCATATTTTGGATGCGCAGTAGAACCGTGATACTGCCCCTTTAAGAGCTTGAAAGCTCTCTAATTTTTTTTCAGTGGTCAAATGTTTCAAATTTGACTCTACCAAACACCACAGGGTATCCCCCGTACTCCGGTTCGCTCATGCAGTAACATTGGAACAATGAAGGCTTGTCCTTTCTAGGGGGAACAGTTTAAAACTGATAGAGCTATTCTCGAGTTTCATATGACATCACGTGGGGGTCAAGCGTCTGTGTCAAGAGTAAAGGACGGCTTTTATATTGTTTTATATTGGCTTTTATAATAGTTGGAGAACTCATTTACATAAGATGCGTTGACAACCATTTTGTTTCATGGTTGTATTAGTTGACCTCAGTTCAATGATTGACCCCCACTTCGAGTCACATTATACTAAAATATCACGTGATTAAAACCCAAGAATACAGTATAAATAAAATTTGTTTAGTTTAGGTTTCCTTCTGTAGTAACACTGTACCAAAATAGCTTAGAATAGATATATTAGTATCCTCAACTTTTGCGTTTTTTTATATCCAGTAGATATTCCGAGTCCTGTAACAACGGTGTACGGAATCAAATGGGGTCAATACATCGGTTCACCAGCTTATGCCAAACCTGTAGTCTGTTGGTCTGACTCGTTCCCAACTCCCGTCGCTCGGTTGGTTTCATTCCCCCATAGTAACCTCTTCATTTTGCCGCCAAACTCCACGCACGTGATTGTCACACGCACACGGAATCGGACAATGCATATCGTGTGGTCAGCGGTATTAAGCTGGAGTCACGTGGATGATATTATTCGTATTTGGGACACCAAGAAAGGAACTATGATTGGATTTAAGGAAAATATGAATTTTCACAAGGTACAAGAAACATGTTCTTTTACTCTTTTTTATTTCCATCTGTAGAAACACTTGATCAGTAAGAGATATACCTACCTAGAACTGATAGAACTATCCAGTATAGCTCCTGTAGTTTTACTAGACCTCTAGGTAGAACAGTTTATAACTGCTGTAATAGAGCCATCCAGTATAAATAAGGTCAATTAGTTTAGATTTCCTCTTGTAGTAACACTGGAACCATAAGAGATATTCCTTGATATAAGAGATGTTCTAGGGAGAACAGTTTAGAACTGATAGAGCTATCCAGTAACATCTGATTTTTTTTCTTCTATTTTTGATAGATAACGTGTTGTGCTGTGTCTGATCAATGTAAGTCATTGTGGGTTGGCAGTTCAACAGGATGTTTTCATGTTTGGCAGACACGATACGATCGGAATAATGTAAGTCCTGGCGATTACAAATTCAGGTATTCCAGTTTCAGCCCACACCTAACAATTATTGCCGGGTTTTTTTTTCAGGAATGTGGATTAGAAGTCCTTGGAAGAAGAATCCGTCTGCAGGGTCATGAGGCCAGTATAACTTGTGTTGAAATTTCGGAAGCATTTAGTATTGTCGTAACGGGAAGTGAAGATGGTACCGCCATCATTTGGGATTTAAATAGGTGAGGTTAATTACTAAACTGAACTAACCGTATCTGTAGTGAATAGTTCTAGTAGTTCTAAACTTTTTTCCATGGACGTCTAGTAAGAGTCATCCCTTAATGGGCTAGTGCTAGCATTGGTGGTAGTATGGTTTCTAGTGCAATTTGGAAAAACATGCACGAGTGAGTTTTTCAAAGGCGATCAAAATTGCACGAGTCCGAAGGACGAGTCTTTGAAAAACTCACGAGTGTATGTTTTCACAAATTGCACGAAACCATACTATTACTTCTTAATTTTCCTGCGTCGTTTCCAGGCTCTGTTTCTTGTAGTTGAATAATGTGCAATTTCAAATATAATTGCACTGCTCTTAGCCAATCAGAATTCATTGCACTGCTCTTAGCCAATCAGAATTCATTGCTCTGCTCTTAGCCAATCAGAATTCATTGCACTGCTCTTAGCCAATCAGAATTGAATAAATTTTTCATCTATATTATTAATACAGGAACAACATAAACCAAACTAACAACTTTTGTGGGATATAGTTCTATCACTTGTAAACTGTTCTACTGTTACAAAAATCGAAACCGGAGTACCCAGGGGAAACCTGTGGTGTTCGATTGGGAGCACTCTTCTCACATGCAACTGAGACTACGTTTATATACCTGGTAGCTTTCCGTAGCGGGCGCGAAAAAGCACCTATCCGATACGGAATGTACAACTTTGAGAAGCTGTGTCGAGAATGTTTGCCTCCAAAACAGTAGTCCTCGACAAATCACATTTATATATAAGTTTTAATAGAAAATATAAGAATACCCAAAATCACATTGTATGCTCGTCGCAGCTGTCTCACATCCGTTCTCTCTCACTGTCACGATGACACTCACTGATACCTACTATGACTAATCTCCCTAATTAACTATCCCTCCCTAAAGTGTTATACGATATATCTTATCTGTTTGGTCAGTTCCCAACAGTTCGTCTGAAAATAGCGTCCCTAAAAGGTACAGATAGGTGTTTTTCACGTCGATACGGAAAACAATTCGGTGCAGTGTAAATGTAGCCTGAGTCAATCAGACAAGGCACATACATGCATGCACTAACCTTTGTACCACTGAAATTTTTAAGGTTATGTTACATTCGTTCTCTATCTGGTCATTCCTCATCGGTGAGTGTTGTCTGCATCAGTCCGACCTCTGGGGATATCGTAACAGTATGTCATACAGGTAGGTTTGGAAATATATACTAAAACTGTCTGTACCAGTGTAGGTAGTACCAATGTGAAAATGTTGTGCTGAGTGGTTATATTACTACCTTAAAAAATAAGCAGAAACTCGACGTTTTGAGCGAAGGCCCTTCGTCAAGAGTTGGCTACTAACTCTTGACGAAGGGCCTTCGCTCGAAACGTCGAGTTTCTGCTTATTTTTTAAGGTAGTAGTATAACCACTCAGCACAACAGGTTTGGAAATGTCGACCCAGCTTGTTTTATAACGCTAATAATAATAATAATAATAATAACGCTAAATATGTTGTCCGCAAATGTAAACACACAACCTACCATGCAGCAGTCGATTTTGTCAGAATGTGTCGAACACTCTCGTAGATGAACGGAACTGCTAATCATCAACCTTAATTATGACAGGAACTGCTTCATCAACCTTATTCTGGAATATTATCTTAAAAAAATTTCTGAAATTGACAACCATCATGGGCCTTCGGTAGCGCAGTCGCCAGAGCAACCACCTTTCACCTCTGAGATCGTGGGTTTAATTCTCGCTATGGACTCATGTGAAAAGAGTCAGTCAACGCTCTGCCGAAAGTCGTGGATTTTCTCCGGGTGCACCGGTTTCCTCCCACAGGGAAAGTTGACAGGGTGGGTTAGGATAAACACAGTTAAGAAAGTAATATCACAATTGTTGTAAAGATAAAATAGTCTAGGCTAAGTGTGTAATTTGGTAAGCGTATAATACTTGCGCATTTGTTCATCCACATGTAAGTTTGCGCTATAGAGCGTTTGCACATGACGTCATAGCCGCCATGTTGGTGTTCCAATTCAAAAAAATTTTAATTAGACTCTTGCCAGGAACACTAACATGGCCGCCATGGCTTTTGTCGAGTTGCTCCCTGGGGAATGAGCGCAAACGCTCTATAGAAATGTTAATAGTATAATCGTAATATCTGCTGCCATGTAACGCGTACCGAATCCCACTGATATACTGTTTTGTTATATAGGCAACAATACGAGTGAACTGAGGTTATGGTCTGTGAATGGAAGACTGATTAAAAAAATTGTTTGTCAAGAAACTATCACCTGTGCCACATTCTCTCGTGCTGCTGAAGGAGTATCAGTGAATGCCGTGGCTGCTGGCTTGGTGAATGGTGTTGTCAGGTTGGTACAGTTCGTAAAATAAATATAAAAACTGGAATGCTACTTTCAGATGAACTGCCTATCTTTTTCTTGAAGCCAAATCTGACCTGTATATGCCACGCGATTCTCTCGGGTAAACAGAAAATATTAAAACAAAAGAAGAAAAAGCTAAAAGTAAAGTCTACTAGGAAATTTTACCTGAATATATGCGTTATTAGAAAGCTTTGAGCGCTGTTAAAAAGCTTTTTTGTGTAAATTTTAAGCCGGTTTTCAAGACTACGTATTCATATCGAGGGATTTGCCGCGCTCTTTGCATGCGTGAAAAGACTTAGACTGGCCTTAGCTTTGGCGTCAAATTTTTGTTTGGGGGATAGCGTTTCAGTTGATTCGTTTCACTGAGTTGGTATGGTTTCATTCGGTTAGGAAAGCGTCTTATTTTTTTTATTTTTGTTCATTCAAGGTTATGGAATACGTGGACTTTAGAACATATTGCTGATATAAAAGACGAAGCATGTCAATTACCAATAGTGAGGTAAGCAATCCTGAAAATATTTTCATGGGTGCCTGATGCTTTGTCTGGCAACAGTTGGGTGGTGCCTGACGCTTTTATAAAAAATATCAGTTAGCAATGTCGCTGTACCAGACAAGTATATATCTGGCAAGAAAGCATTTTGCCAGACATTTGCCCTTTTCCTGCATGAATGATCAATGATTTGCTTCACATTTGACTCTACCCATGCAACACAGATTTTCTCCAGTTTCTTTCTGTAGTACCCTGGTTGCCAGAGGTTCTGTATCTTTCGCCTTATTCCCGCTCGTATATTTATTTTACGCGAGGCGAAGAGAACCTCTGGTGGCACGCGATACAAATCTCACTTCCATGCTGACGTTGCCGTTGAGAACTTGCAAAACCGGTTTTATATTTTGTGACGTTTTTAAACTTCCGGGTTTGTCATACTACCAAAATAGCTCTCTTCAGACAGCCTTGTGTAAAACTCGGTGTAAAATACTGAAAATAAGCAGCGGAAACATGTAGATTATTCATTAGAAACATATAGATTATTCTCGCAACGCACAAAGCAAAAAGCAACCTTACTGATTGTGGAATGCCGTTTGTATTAGGTCTATTTATAGCGAACGTATAAAGTCAAAAGTGAAAGAATATAAACATATAAATATTTATATATACGTGTGCAACGGAGCCGGTATGGTTGTCCTTAACAGACAATGGAAAAATATTGGCAAAATAAATCATATTAATAACTATTAAAATCAAAGAATTGCCAAAATTTAAAACCTTGAACGATATAAAGCAAGTGACCGACGGCATATTGTAAACACTGGACTGGACTTTGGACTTGGACTTTGGACTATGGACTTTGGACTATGGACTTTGGACTTTGGACTTTCGATTTTGAAATTATATTATTTTTTAGATTTTCGTATAATTATATTAAAATCTAAACAGAGAACGAAAATTTGCTGCTGAAAAGCGTGCTACACTGCATGCACATGCATGATATAATAATATACAAGGTAAAAAATCTCTAGTATCAGTTATATAGGTATACCAACAGTGCAATTTCATACGGATATAGCCTGTAGGACAGCAGGATTATCCAATATTTTGGGATTTAATATTTGAATTTTATATAATATTTGTATTTATAGTATGCATAGTACAGTGTATACTGCAGAACTTCTTCTTTATCATATAGATAATAGATTAATTGTCAGAAACAATTGTGACAAAAGTGTCTCGGCAAGTACAAAATATTAACTATACAAGTGATTATTATCGCGCCTATTGAGTATTGAGTATTGTGATTGTTCATCTTTGCATAATAGTTTATACTAGTACTGTATTGTGTAATTGCGAGTGTAATTGTTTACTCCGTTACACAGTAACGTTTTGTTAATGTTACTTATTTTTGAAAGACATTCTAGTTAGCTATCCTTATCACTATAAGACTAAGTGCTTCAGTTGTTAGTAGATGGACAGGAATATTCGACTAACGGAAATTTACACACTTTTTAAGACCTACTCAGTTGTGTGTGAGAAGGCAAAAATCTATGTCTATATGTGCTTCAGGTAGTCTAGCAACTATTTGCCACATTTACTCAGTAATACTACCACTTGCAAGTGATGAACCAGGCGGGAATCGCAATCGTAGTATAAAGATTAATGCTCAGCCGCATAACGTACGCAAAAGAGCCATATATAGACAATAATAAATATATACATAAAGTAATACTAATTACTATAGATTATCATAAAGTAATCAGTACTATACCAATTAATATTTAAATTTTATTAAGATTTGTATTTATAGTATGTATAGTACAGTTTACTGCAGAACTTCTTCTTTATCGTATATATAATAGATTTATATAGAAACAATTGCGGCAAAAGTAGCCGGCAAATACAAAATATTGAGAAACTATCACGTATAAGTATAAACTACACGCGATTATTATTGCGCCTTTGGCTTTGAACAATTATTCGCCCAAGGCGAGGCCGTGATTATCCGGGAATTTGTAGTCTCCCTCGCAGCCGCCAGTTGTGTACGTTCTCTCTCAGAGGAGGTTGGACAGCTAATTAGGCGAATCTGGGCGAATCTCTCGACCAATCAGATTGCGCCATTTTCCTCATGCTCGCATGAAGTTTTTGGCATCGAAAATTTACATAGGGCTCATAAATATCGACTTTTTTCATATTGTTATGCACATTTTTTTGGAAATTTCACGCGATACTACTTTTACAACAGTGAATCTACCCATTGGAACGGTATCTTGAAAGGTAAGCGTTATTTTCCAGTTTATTTTGACCTCTCACTTTAGGCGCTATGCCGTCGCGATGTAATTTAATGGTGTTTATATCAACAATCTTTGAAGACAAAAATCTCAAATTTCCACGGTTCGATTTCGCTATTTTTTTCACGATTAGTTAAACAAAAGTATAATCTTTAATTCTATCCAGCCGGCCCCCCTCGGTCCCGCAACCGTTTTCGAGATATTCACCGTTGAATATAGCCCTCTGTAAAATATGTTGCCTTGTCACTCAAATCGATAATGAACTGCCACTACTCGCTTTTTTCTAAAGAAGTGTGATATATTATAGAAGTTTCGATATATTATGGATTGTATATATTGCAGTTAAAGTGTGCAAATAATTAAAGCCCTTCCGTAACAATATGTTACAAGTGAAATTTATTGTTTGGCTGATGTTTTAGATTTGAGATTCGTGATTTTGGCTGGATTCTATTTTTGTCAATGATTTTGTCTGCAAGAATTAAGCATCATCATTAAATTTGGAGGTAAAATCGGTCCTTCCAATCTGTACAGACCTTCTACATCTGCAAGATCTCCGATGCTATGATTGTCTCTCCATCGAGTGACCAAAACCTTGTTCACCTTTCTGGTTATGTTCTTCTGTTATTGGGTCATTCCAGAAAACATCCATACCACCCCCACGGAGGAAATTGGAAGTTAACCCCCCTACCCCCTTCGGATGTCCTAATACATTTACTATTATCAGAAACAATTTTGTCTCCTCTCCCCCTCCGGACGGCAGAAATTTCCTCTGTGGGGGGAGTGTGGATCTTTACTGGAACGACCCATTGGTATGACTTCTGGATTTTCAAAACTAACCCAGCGACAACCAGAATAACTACTCATCCACCTGTTTCAAAAATGGCTGGTAAAAGTTAACCCTGGTTTAGATGCTAAATTTGTCCCTCAAAATTTTCTCCCACTTGTTGCCAAGGCTATGTCTGTACTTCATGCTGGTCAAAAAGACAATCCGATTTATCACACTGCTCGATGCTTTGGAGAACAACGCCATGGAGATGTTGGTCTGATGCCATTGGATAGAATGCCCTTTATAGGAGTGAAGGCCCTTTATAGGAGTGAAGGCCCACTTGGCCTTTTTTTAACAGTATTTTGTAATGATGTTACACAAGTAATTCAGATAAAGTTTGAGAAATGGTGGTTCTTTCAATGTTAAGCCCCAGAGAGGGGGGTGGGGTCGGGCATATGTGTGGGGCATTTGATTTTTTGAGCAAATTTTCAATCAAATGCCCCACTGTTAGGTAATAAATATTGGTCAAACACCCCACCATTTTGCAATAAATTGCAATAATTACTATATTTATAAATATAAGATTGGTTCAAATTGCCCTAACTCAGGCCCAAAATGCTAATCAAAATCCCCAGAGTGGGGATGCAATTGATGATCAAATACCCCACATATGCCCACCCCCCTCTGGGGCTTGACATTGATAGGTGCAATTATATGCTGGGTTTTTTTTTGTATTCTCATGTAATGTACCACAAAGTATCAGCAGCATGTTATTGTGGGACCTTTGATCAATATGTATATAAATAGACATATTTTTGTTTTATTGTTGCATTAATTTTAATGAAAAATAAAAATTACTCACAAAGTTGGTCAAGTGAATGTACAAACTATTTATTTCTTCATTTAGTACAGCACATGTTACAATTATGTACTTGTCTTAATTGCATGAGTGTGCATGACAGACTTTTTTATTTTAATTGTGCACACCCACTTATGATTAACCTACTGTAGTTTTTGTTTATGAAAATCTAAAAAGTTACCTAATTGAAATAAGATCATTTCTATAACTTGCTAAACCTAGTCAGTTACAATTATATCACAAACATCTGTCAATGTACACTTGTGCTCTTCCTTACCACTTGAGTCTCCCACTCACCACATCGCTTTATGAAAATTTTTTGATAAAATCCTATTTTAAAAAAGTCAACCCTATGCTTGATATGCTGAACATAGACCTCTAAGATATCTCCAGTGGCAATTAGTCGGTGCAAATACTTGCATAGTTGAGAAGCAAGATAACCAATGTGTGTCCATCCAGTTCCATAGTCTACATCAATTGCAATTGCACTTGGGTCCATTCCAGGATTCTCTAGCCGTATTCTTACATTCACTGGTTTATCTTGTCCATGAAGGACAAGGTATGCTGTTGATGTTGGTAATTTTTCTCATGAGCAGCACCGATGCACTTGAATGGTACAGCATGGGTGATTTCGTCCTCGTCACTTTCATCCTCATCACTTAACTGGTCTCCACTTTCTGCCCTATCACCTTCATTACCATATCCATCCTGACCAGCTTCAAGACCAGCCAACCACTGAAGTAGATCTCTTTCTACAAAATCATAACAAGAAAATTTTTATTTTATTATTTTGTACATAAACTGTAATCTCTAAAATTAGAAATCTAATGCAAAAGTGTGTCACTATTTACAGTAATATTTATAGAACAACACACAAATATGGCAATATTTTACAGATGAAAATTGAAAAATATCACTATTGTATGCACATATATGTAAAAATCTATCCACAACTAGATACAAACAGGCATCATACTTCAGCAAAAATTTATTAAACAATTTGTTTAACTCAAAGCATGTACATATGTATCACAGTTCACAGACACACACAATAGAGTCAAACTAGAGCCATTTATAAACACAAATATTACGCCATATTAATTTTGTACAGTGTATTTATAAAATTACAGTACAAGGTTAAAAAAAAGCGGATAATAATTTGACTAAATAACAAGGTAACTGTAATGCATTGTAGTATACCAACCTTAAATATTGCGCTTGTTTTCACGTTGATGATACACGGAGATTTAACGTCATCCAAGTTAGAAAGAAGAGCCTCACTACTGGGAATATAAACACAATTCCTTCGCTCAGACGCATTATTTATCAAGCTAAAATGACAACATGTCCCATGCAAATATTTAAAAAAGGTAAACTTGGTATAGTAAAACACAAGTCGTAATGATGATCGCAACAATACAGCAATAACATGCTGTTTCTTTTCACAAAATATCGCAGCCTGACACTCTTGTCGTTCGAAAGCTTCCATATTGGTTTAGTCAGAGAGATGTTCACTCCTCGACAGTCAACAGTCAATGAAGTCACGCGCGGAATTAGGCACTCAATATCCATGATGCTTTGCGGCCTGCTGTCCAACCTCCTCTGGTTCTCTCTGATGTTAGCCTGCATGGCAGGCGGTATTTCTACGGGCAGCGAAAATTAGGGAAGCAAAGGAAATACCGCCTGCCATGCAGGCTACTCTGATGTCTGCGAAGGAGGCTAGGGAATTTGTCAAATTTGACCAATCAACTTGACAACTTGTAGGATTTGTTGTACTATTTATTCACTTGCGCAAAAATACTAATGACGGTATTGTTCATCTTTGCATAATAGTTTACACCGGTTTAGCACCTGCCTAAATAGGCTGTGTTTACAATGTATTTTGTCTGTGTCAGTTTTAGCTTTTAATAAATGTATTCAGCCATAGTGAACACGAAAACTCTCATAGTCATCATACTTTATAAAATACGAATGTATGATACATTATTATATAACTTAAAAATATTACTGAGATGATCCTGTTATCCCACAGGCTATATCTATGAAATTGCACTGGTATACCTATATAACTGACAGTATTTTTTACCTTGAATATTGTATCATGCACAAATTTTCGTTCTCTGTTTAGATTTTAATTAATATAATTATACGAATATTTTAAAAATATAATTTCAAAATCGAAAGTCCAAAGTCCATAGTCCATAGTCCAAAGTCCATAGTCCAAAGTCCAGTCCAGTGTTTACAATATGCCAGTGACCGACACTTTATATTTTACAAATATTACTACTGTAATAGAGTGAACATGTCATGCCGTCGACTCAAGTCATGCCGCGATGGCACTGCAGCTCTTCTCCAGCGCAGAAAGTCTTTTTATAGCGGACAAACTAAGTTAAACTCAAATAACCCACACTGAGTAAAGCATTTTAATACATTCGTATTATTTCTGTATTTTGTTTACATCATGTCTCTGAGATTTATAAACAGGTTTTTTTGTCTAGCCAATCACATCACTTCATGTGACTGCTAATTATAACTAACCAATCATGTGCTTGGTACAAATTTTGTACCAAAGGAAGAGAGATTTGTATCGCGTGCCACCAGAGGTTTTCTTCGCCTCGCGTAAAATAAATATACGAGCGGGAATAAGGCGAAAGATACAGAACCTCTGGCAACCAGGGTATTTCTGTAGTGGACACTAGATCAATCTTTAGAATGACCCTTACTGGACCTTGGAAGTTAAAAGTAATTTTTTTATTTCTATGAAATTTTAGTCTGGAATATTCACACACAAGTCTCCATCTGTTTACTGTGGATTCCCATGGAACAGTTCGAGCTTGGGGAAGATCAGAAAGAGCGTATAAACCTCGGATACTGTCTAGCATTCATTAATTTATTCTTAAGAGGAAAGCTTAAATACTGCCTGATCATGAGCAAGGACACCATGTCGCGACACTGTAGTGACATAGAGTGTAGTTACTTCAATCATTCACGCCTTCTTCAAGACCAACTGTATGTTTTATTGTTTCTCGCTTTTCCGAGAAGTGAACTTTAGGAAATGGCCCAGTGTTATTTCAGCCTGGTATTCAACCACGCAAGCCGGGCTCTTACCTATACAGTGGGACCGGAGATAAGACCTCGGGTAGGAGGAGTTTGCCTCGCATTAATCCGCTGTTTGTATATAAAGCTGCGATCACTTACATTGGGTTAGCTTAACCACATGCCACACATGTGGATGAGAGTATGCATACAGAATAGACACAATAGGTATAGAAATTCACATCCCCAAAGCAAAAAGATTTTACACATATGGGGGTGTATTTTACTAAGTGGTGCAGCAGATAGTGGGTAATTTACAATTATTAGAGTAAAAAATTATTTTCATTATGTGTAGCTTAAAGGGATACGGCAATATATTTTTTTATTATTTCATTTTAAAGAACTTTTAAAATTATATGTAAATCTCCTTTACTGATTTTGCGTAACTTTATTATTTCCCGAAATATTTTGACTTAAAATAATTTGCTGTCCGCCAACTTGGATTAATTTTTATCTCATCGGTGATTTTAGTGACGTCAAAAGCAGGGTTAGCCATATAAAACTACATCTAAATGAGCAAATAACATTAAGTCTTGTTTGAAAAGTCTTCAGACAGTTTTTTATTTCAAATAGTTACTGAAGTATATGATTTTGGGCTCATAATAACCAGTTGCTCTATGGATAAAATTGTTGCGTGACCCTGCTTATGATATCCGCCAAAATCCAAGATGGCGGAAAGCTCGCTGATTTGCGATTTTTTCTGCTCAAATATCTGAAGAAATAATAAAGTTACGCAAAATCAGTAAAAGAGATTTACATATAATTTTAAAAGTTTTTCCAAATGAAATAATAAAAAAAAATATTGCCGTATCCCTTTAATAGTCACCATCTACACGCGTAAAAACAAGTTTGTCAACAAGTTGTCTTCGCACTGTTTGTCACAAGTTATCAACAAGTTTGGAACAAGCTGTTAACAATTTGTAACAACCTTGTTGATATTATCAGTCTTGTTACAAGGTTCCAACAAATCTGGTACAGTCCTGATGTATGTAACATTCTTGTTATATCATGGCTATGTCAGACTTGCTAGAACAACCTTGTGACAAGTCTGATAATATCAACAAGGTTGTTACAAATTGTTAACAGCTTGCTCCAAACTTGTTAAACAACTGGGAACAAGCAGTGCGAAGACAACTTGTGGACAGCTTGTGAACATAACTGTAACAACTTGTTTGCAGACTTGTAACAACTTGTGCGTTTTTACGTTGTAACACTGAAACCTGCAGCAGACTTGTAGCAATGCTGTTCCAACAACTTGTCAACAGGATGTGTTCGCACTACTTGTTCTCAGCTTGTTGACAACTTGCTACAAGGTTGTTGAACTCAACAGACTTGTTACAAGTTGTTCCAACAACTTGTTATCGTCCTGCAATTCAACAACTTGTCAACAAGTTGTGAGTGACAACCCTGTAGCAACATGATAAAACAACAACATTGTTACAACTTGTTAACAAGCTTGCTACAAGCCTGTTGCGAACACATCTTGTTGACAAGTTCTGAGATTTTAACGTGTGATACTGTCCCATGACACTGAAACCAATTAACGAAAAATGATGTACATATTGTGATATTGTTTTGTATTTTTTTAAATAAATTTGTGAAGAACATTTTGACAGGCTTTGAATATGATCAGCTTTGTCTTTTGCCGATTGATTGAACTAATTCTTATTCTTATACAAACATTGAACTAAACTTTCACGTGAGAAAGACAATGTTTTTATCTGCGAATGTTCATCGTTAGATGCCAATGACGATTGCGTCAAAAACATCCTAAGTTGCTTAGCAACGCTCGACTTACGCCAACAATGGGACACGTCAGCTGTGTTCGTAATTAACGCATGCGTCACAAACGAGAGAATGAATAAAAACATGGCAGTAAGCCACGTACTTACTGTCTTTTTACAAATTTCTCTCGTGTTTTTAAATATATTTTATATTATTTCTGCCAAGAAATGTGCAGATATACAGTGCAAAGGTTAGTGCTTTTTACATATTTTTAATATTGCTCGAATTTTGTAGTGAACTATATTTTATGCGTCTTTCGAATTGTCATCCTTTATAAATAGGTGTTGCAAATATTAAATATATATTATAATTAATCTTGAATTATTCTATATGATTGATACAATAGTGTTTCGGTTGACTTTCAGTTTTACTGGGTTTAACGTAACTACTTTAATTTAATACTGGAATTTTCGTCCAATCGGGTATCCCACTGAGACATATAATAATAAAATAAATTTGTGCACCAAATTAATTGTATTAATACATTCGAAATATTCTATTAGCAGAGACATTGGGGCAGGCGGAAAATTAAATCGATACTTATAAGCATTTGGAATTGTGGAGAAGTTTTGTTTGCTCTTGTGTCTGCTGACAATAAGCACTTGAAAATTTAATATAAATTAGGTTATAGAGTTTTCAAATTTCATTTTAGTTAAAAGGCAGTCAACAAGTTACAAGCAGTTTTTGTCTTGCTATTGTGGAATTGTTTTCTCATTGTTTTGAGCCCTTACCTCATCTGAGTTTGCCATAAAACAACAATGTGAAATGAGTCTGCAATTGGAGGACAAAATTTATTGTTGATAGCTTTCCAATCTCAAAGCTGACCCAAGGCAATGACCCTTTCAATGTTTTGTAATATTAGCATTGCTTAATTGAAATGTCTCCTGGATAATTAAAAGCCTGCTGCTACATAGATGGATAAACTTTGTTTGCAAATTTTATGTTAAATTGCCTGCCAGTATGCGTGGTCAAGTAATTTTGAATAATCTTGCAATGTAACAGCACAATTCAAGTGTGGTAAGGCATGCGACATAGCATGTGCATGCCTATTGGCAGGCAAACAAATGTGCATTTCGGGCGCAAAATCAAAACAATGTTTACCTGTCTATAATATGCACAAAGTCTGTTATTGCCTTGTTATCTCAAATTAGTACAATTTCAGTATTGACAAATGGCCTTTGAGCATTCTGATTGGCTCCCTCAGCAGTAACTCTGAGGCAATAGTTACTGCTCTGAGCAGTAACTATTGGTTTTCCAAAAATATGGCTGAAAATCAGATGCAAGTAAATTCTTTATGCAAATTATATTAATAAAATAAACATGTGTATTAGTTGTATTTATAAATAAAACTGAGATTATACTAAAACAATTACTTGCCTCAGGCTCCATGATTACAAGTCTATATGCACTTCGCATTGCTCCAATTATGGGAACCCCTTAATTACATAAAACATTAACATTAATAATGAACGATATAGAATGTATAACAAACTTACAAAATGACATCAGACAACTAGCAACATCTTAGAGACCCGGTGCTATTACATTTAACACAATACATGTAGATTTCCATGTATGAGGATTGTCACATAGCATAGCACATTCATATAAGAACTCTTTAGTCCTGATTTAAAAGCATGCAGTCCAATATTTTTATGACGAAAGTCATTAAGTTGCATCGCATGCCAATGTGCCCTACTTTAATAATTATTATTTTACTCTACTTTAATAATTATTATTCTACTGTCTAACACCAGACTATTTTACTTGTCAGGGGAAGAGTGCTGGCACTCATTGGGTTTATATTGGGTTAAATATCTTAGTATCTGTAATATATATATGTATATATATATATAGTTTTTTAATTCTAACAAATTTTCTTATATCTAGGTCCAATATCAATAGCCATTGCACTTAAAGATCATGAATCTTTTGGTGAAAATTATTTACGTTTTAAGAAAGGAGATAAACTCACTATCTACAGTAAATATGTTGGAGGTGATAACTCAGTCTGGCAAGGAAGTCTGGTATGAAGAATTTTTATTTTGTCAAATCTAGATATTCTAATTATTCTCTGCAGCAGATTGTGGTGAATTGTGGGCAGTTATCAGAGGGAGGCAATAATGCTAATTATTTCCATTACAATAGTTGTCTTGTATTTTGTGGAGGCATTATTGATAACTGACGTTCACCTCAATCTGTTGCTTTCTAATTCTTATTAGGGGTGCACCGGAACTCGGTTCCGGCCGGTTAGTTCCGGCCGGAACCCCGATTTTTTAGAGTTCCGGTTCCGGCCGGAACTAGTAAAAAAAGCATGGCCGGAACCGGAACTCTGTTGTTTTCAGAGAGATAGAATATCAAACGTTTTTGTGTCTAACAAAAGGTCACAGTAGGAAGAAAATTGGACTACGCAAGGGAAATGCACACTACTAACATTTCATTATGACGTTTAACGTTTGTCAATCTTTTTATTCTAACATTTGCGAGCTCTCCCCTTTATGACTTGAAGTGTCTGCCAGCGGACAAAGTAACATATGACTATATATGGCTTAATAAATTAGTTCCGGTTCCGGCCGGAACTTCCGGTCGGAACTTTTTTCCAGTTCCGGTCGGATCCGGTTCCGGCCGGAACTTAAAAAACTGGTTCCGGTGCACCCCTAATTCTTATTGAAATACAAATATTATGGTCTGGTACTCCATTTTTTTCTAGTCAAGTACCATGTAGGTATGAACTTACTATGCACCACTCTGCATACTTGCCCAAGCCCAAGGTATTCAAAACAATATTAATGTGGTATACAGTATGTGTAAATCTGGCATGTCTTGGCATGAAACATGATTGGACTGGTGGGCCAAAGGAATGTTGGAGAGGATAATTGTAGTGTCTATATTAGGTTTGGGCGGTTTACCGGTTTTTCGTTTTTTTCCGGTTTTATTTTCAAACCGGTTTTTTCGGTTTAGCTTTTACAAAAACCGGAAAACCGTCATTACGAAATTGTTTACTGTCAACGCCCGAAACTCGATCCTAATTCTCAAAACATGACACTAATTAAACACAATTACATGACACTAGATACAAATTATATTCTTTTTCTGTAAAGTCGGTAAGAACTAAAGAGGTATAAGTTTTCAAATGCGTTCTTGACCCTTTTATTTTAAAACCGAACTCGTTTTAGGTTACCTTTACACAATTTTGCGTTTTGTCATGTTCTGTTCGTTTGTGCTTATGTCAAAAAAATACCATAATTCCCTCTCATTCAGTTGAAATACAAATTAAAGGGAAAAACCGGTTTTCCAGTTTTACCGGTTTAGAATCAGACGGTTTTTCGGTTTTGATTTTAAGCAAAACCGCCCAAGCCTAGTCTATATATGCAATTGCGATCCTTCATAGTTTCAGGTTGCCAAATGAACACTTTTCAGAAAATGTACTTTATGTACTTCATTTGGATGTCTCTATCTGAGACATGATCTCACATAGACAATTTATGGTCAAAATAGAACAAGAGGGTCTATTGCAGAATGCTAAACTAGACAACAACATATTAGTATAGATAGATTTATTTGAACTTGTTCTTATTTATCATAGATAGGATGCCCATAATGAAAATTACTGGGAAACCAGTAATGTATGTTAGCCTCATTAAATAAAGTATTATTATTATTATTATTTTAAAGACTAAGTAGACCTTGAGTCTTACATTTTTACCAGCTTAGGTATGCGTCAATAACCATCGGGCTACCAGTCATGTATAGATAGATAGATAGATAGATAAACTTTATTTAAACACGCTGACCCCGTCAACCGAAGCTGATTTCCACGAGGGGCGTGCGAAAAGTATACAGAAAAGAATTTTAAAACTATTTACAAAATTATATAAGATATATAGTATTATATGAACTAACAAACTAAGGTAGTAATCTATATACAGATAATATTAACATCTATGTTAATTAGCTATCAATCAATGTGAGTAGTGATTTTCTTTCGAAAGGAAGAAAAGGATTTGCTCTCTCTTATTTCTTTAGGAATAGAATTCCAAAGGTGTGCTCCGTCATACACAAAACTTTTTTTCATATTATTAGTACGCGGTTGTGGTAAACAAAGACTACTTGAAATGTTCCGAAGTTTGTAGTTTGTCACCTCACCCTTATATGTGAAGAGATTACTGAGTGATTTGGGTCCCATTTTATTCAATAATTTGTACATGATTTTTGCGTTACTTTTCTTCCTTTCTGTTTTAAGTGGCTTCCAACCCAATGCTTGCAATGCAACAGAGTGATCTATGTCATTGCTCATATTCAAAATAATCCGAGCAGCTCTGTTTTGTAGTTTTTGGAGTCTTTTTGATTGCGTTTCTCCAAACACATCCCATACTTCACAGCAGTAATCGAAGTATGGGCGAACAATAGCATTATATACAGAAAGAAGTGTTTGCTTATCAGTAAATTCTTTTAAACGTCTAAGAGCCGATATTCCAGATGTAATTTTCTTGCAAATATTCTCAGTGTTAGTTTTCCAAGATAAATGCTGGTCAATTGTCACTCCAAGAGTTTTGGATTCATAAACTTGTTTAATTGACTCGTTTTCAATTTTCACATTTAGTTGCAAATTTGAAATATTTTTTATCATATCATATTGAAATATTTTTTATTATATCATATTGAAATATTTTTTATCATATCATATTGAAATATTTTTTATCATATCATATTTTATCATATTGTTTGTAATTACTGCACCCTGATTGATATTGCAAAATGCCATGTTTACAGGGAGGGACTCCAGCCAGGTTTCTTAAAAGTGATTTTGTTGAAGAAAAGACAAAAATTGTTGATGAAGATAAATTGGTTGACCTAGCATCAGACACCGAGGTAAGTCGTATCCGTAACAAGGTATTTTTGACTTATTCAGTAGCCTCCAGTCGTAGCCACCCATCCAAGTCCAAAAACACTTGTAATTGATAATTTTTCATAATTTTCAAAACATTAGGGTCATGTAAAAGCTCCAGTGAATGAAGGCCAGCTACCAGAAGAATCTCAACAACATGCAGATGAAATGCATGAAGAAGCAAGCAAGGATGAAAGTGTAACCAATAGTTTGGGGAATCCTGATGTTTCCAGTGATTCTCCTGTATTAACATCAAGCACTGATGATCACATCCAAGCTGAACACAAACATCCCACTAACGAGGATGCTAACAAGGCTGCTAAAGAACCTCCTAACGAGGTTGCTGATGAAGCAGCTAATGAGGGTAAAGACAACAGGGAACATAGTCAGGATAAACTGACAAATGACAATGAAAGGACAGTCCAGGATTCTGAACCAGTAAATAACGACCCTAAAATTGGGGATGAAAGTCAAGTTCCAGATGACGATAATAATGATCATCAAGAAACAATGGAGGATAACGACGAGGGTGTTGATGATAGAACTGAGAGAACTCGGGTCTATACTGATCCAAATGGTGTTCAGTATGACATGAGAATTGAATATTCAAATCCTCAAGATGAAGAGAGCAATGATGATGTTAAAGTTGTTGGAGCAGCAGAGCAAGAACAGCCCCACAGTGGTGAAGATGATCCAGCTGGGAAAGTGGATGAAGACAAGGTAGAAAGCAGGCCCATAACTAGGATTTTAGAGCCGAGCACCTTTCAGAAATTGAGCTTACCTGTAGAAAAAAGCTTACCTATAGAAAAAAGCTTACCTATAGAAACGCAATTTCCTGCATTCTGAGAGCAGTTTTATAAACAGTGACACAGGTGCATAAAAAACCCTGCTAACCCACACTTCTGTTATTGAGGTGTTATAAACTAGTGCCCTCTTATCCGGGTGGAAGGGTGTACAGCCCCTGAAAATATACACCCCCTTACTTTATTATATGTCTGTGCAGGGAAATGGTCAAGATCTGAATGCCGAAACACCAGGAAGTGATCAAGAAACAAAGACGGTGAAAAAGGAAGGATTTTTCAGCAGCATTGGGAACATTGTATCAGATTTCACAGAAAATATCATCAAAGATTTTCAAGGTGAAGAGGAACGAAGTGGTAAGATTTCAGTTTCAAACTTTCCCAGTATAAAGATACGCATGAAGCCACTTATAGTGATTGATTTAAAACACGAAAACATGTGTTGAGGTGTATGATAAATGAGTTCAAGTATAAGATATAACTTCTCAAACAAACTAGCATTTGAAGAGAAATTTAAGATTTATCTTTACAACAATAGACAATTCCCGTTATAGACTAATTTTAAAATTAGGTAAGGAAACTCAAATAAATCACCACAGCTAGAAAGAGCATACTAAAATTAGTAAAATTACAAAGTTTGGTTGCGAAATGTTGTAAAATGAGGAAAGTATAGCCTTGCAAAGTTCGCAAATTTTGTATACTTTTGTATTGCTTGCGGAAATTCCTACCACATTCCTACCACATTTAGGCCGAAAATGTCGCACGCAATACAAAAGTATACAAAATTTGCAAACTTTGTAAGGCTATATTTTCCAAATTTTACAACATTTCGCAACCAAATTTTTTAATTTTACTAATTTTAGTATGCTCTTTCTAGCTGTGGTGATTTTATTTGCATCTCCTTGCCTAGTTTTAAAATTAGTCTATAATGGGAATTGTCTATTGTGATATTACTTTATTTTCTGTGCCTATGCTAATCCACCCTGTCGACTTTCCCCGTGGAAGGAAACCGGAGCACCCGGAGAAAACCCACGACTTTCGGCAGAGCGTTGACAGATTCTATTCACAATAGTCCGCACATGAGTCCGTAGCGAGAATCGAATCCACGATCACAGAGGTGGAAGGCGCTTGCTATGGCGACTGCTGGAGTGGATTATAATCTCTAACTTATTTTCTGCTAGACAAAGAGACGAATAGCAACCTGGAACAAGAAAGAGAAGACCCGGTAAACAGTGAAAAAACTGAGGAGGAAAAAGCTGACGAGAAACAGGATATTAAAATAGACAGTAGAGAGGATGGATCAAACACGAAGCCATCAGGATTCAAAGGATTTCAAGAACGATTTCAGCAATTGAAAGCAGCACGACTTGAAAAGATGAAAGACGACACCGCACGAAAAGAAGCGAGCGTCTCGCCTGCTGTAGATGAAGAAGAAATACTGAAAAGAGAAGCAAAGCGAACGGTTGAGGAAATTCCAGGATTAATGAAAGAAGAAAAGAATGAGGGAGGTGAAGTTGCTAGTGAGGGAGTCAAGAATGAGGAAATGATATCTCGGGAAAGTGGTGATAAAACTGGAAGTCAAAAACCTACTGCTAAACAATACTCAGATAAAGGTAAACAACCCTTCACATTATAGTTGTTTTTGAAACCGCAGTTGCTGATACCTGTCAGCTTAAAAATATATGCATTCCGATGTTACGACCATATGGGAACTACACTTAACTACTGGATATCCCTATCATTTCTAAATGTTTTCCTTGGAGTCTAGTATGGGCTGTCACATAGTAGGAAAACTTCGGATTGATAGGGATACAATTACATGACAAAATAATTGTAGTAACCACTGTGCCATCACTTTCTCTCTGTGTTTTTATCTTGCAGTGTTGTGTAGATCCGTGCCTGTTGAAAACCGGGATATATGCATGGCAAGTGGGAGTAGAGAGAAATGTTTGAAGGATAACTGTTGTTTTGACGAGACTGCTGAACCTGCAAGACAATGTTTCTTTAAACCAAGTGCCCCAGGTAAACAACTACTGTCCTTTAATGTCCATCGAAAGACAAATAGAAAATTTATCTAAATTACTTGCCTCCACTGTACAAGACTAATACATAAAATTAAATGGAGTCACATCACTTTTTCACTGTGGAAATTGTACAATCACAAATACAATCTATCCCACATTCTTTAATGCAGTACTTCTATTTTATAACAGAGTCTGGTTTCACTGAAGAAGAATTACAAGAATTACTTTCGGACGAAGAAGAAAAATCGGACGAAGGTAACGAGGCGGCCGTGAAAACAGATAAAGACAGTTCAGAAAGCAGCGAATCTGAAAAGTCGAGCATTGGTGAACAAGCAGACAAAACTGCAGATGTCTCTGGTGAGACAAAGGAATTGAAAGATGTTGAATTAGACGATGGGAGGAAGTCAGAAACTGTTGATAAAAGTGATGATGAAAGTGAGAACGGTGATGAAACAAAAGTTATAGGAACTGAAGTGGACGCTGATAAAAATATAGACTCAGTTCAAAAAGCTAGTAGTGCCGTAGGCAAATCTGAGAGTTTAGATGAAGTGAATAAATCTTCGCCAAAGGTTTCATCATCGGAGAAAAGCGATACAGCCGAAACTGTTGATAGTACAGCCAGTAGGAAACAGGCTGAAGGAATGTTGTCTGAGGCGAGAGACAGTGATGATGATAAACAAGAGGAAATTGATGACAATGACCCAAAAGATGAAATGATTGAAGAGAAGCCAATAAGTGGTTCAGATACCAGTAAAGATGATGCCATTATAGACACACAGGAGTCCTCAGATGTCAGTATTGATTCAAGCAATGAAACAGCAAGTGTTGACTCCAAAGAAAAACTTCAGGATGAATCTGATGATGAAGGTGTAAGTGGACTTTCGACTAGTGGTTCTAGTGCCAGTATAGAAAAAGAAGAATCTTTGATGGGAGGTGTTACTGAATCAGGAGAGGTAGACGGCCAAGACAAGGAGGTGAGGTCAGTTCATGATTCGGAGGATGATACAAGTTCAGTTTCCTCAACAAAAGAAAACGGTGGAAGCAGTGCGGAAGGAAAAGGAGTAAGTGCTGATGCAACTTCAAAAGATAAAATACAGGAGGAAGTAGGAGCGATAGACAAAGACAGTGAATCTGTCGAAAGAAAGGATGAAGTTGACGAGGAAGGAGAAAGTGAGCACAAAGTTCAAGATGAAGGTGGGGATGAAACTCGAAATCCTAGCGATAGTGAAGATGAAATGAAAAGTAGTGCTAATGATTCTAAAAGTGAAACCACCTCGCGAGAAGAACCAGCTGGGAGAGAAGGTGTTTCTGATGAAGATAAAAGTGAACAAGAGCCAGAAACTGAAAGCAATGGAATTACAGATAGACAAGGAGAAACTCAAGATTCGCAAGACAATCCTATTGATGCAACTTTGATAGACGAAATGGTAGAAGAAAACGAGGAAATTCTTTCCGAGGACAATGTTAATGAAAAGAAAGAAGACCAACCTGATACGCAAGGAATCTTCGCTAGCTTAAAAAAGTTCCTACCTGGCGGTGGAAGTACGGAAGAAGAAAATACGAAATCTAAAGAGGAAACCTCGGATGAAATTTTGGATGTGAACAAGATTAAAGTTCCCGAGAAAGTAGAGAAGGTTAACGCAGAAGGTGATCAGGGGAAGGTGAAAGATGATACTCAGGAAAGGAGGAAAGATAGTGAAAGTTCGGAGAATGTAAAAGAAGATCAAGCTGACTTGAAATCTGAACAAGTCCAGGAAGGCGGTGAAACAAACGTGAAAGAGGCTTCTATTGAAGAAGAGTCTGACAAAGATGTTGATGACGATGACAAAGAGATGGCGGAGGAACTTTTAGCAGATATTCTGGAGGACGAATCTTTAAGCATGGAAGATGCTACCGATTCAGAAACCATTATTTCTGAGACTACAGTCAAGCAAGATAGTGAAAATAGTGTGGAGTCTGGTTCAACTCACTTTCTAAATAATACTGAAGCAACTTTGCCTGTGGAAAAAACTCTTGATAAAGAGCTTGAGGTCAATGATAGCACTTCGCAAGGAGGTGACGATATGAAGACTGGAATCAAAGAGACTGAAACTGGAGTGGAAGAAACGAAAACTGGACTCGAAGGAACGGAATCAGTTGAAGAAACGAGAATAGAACCTGATATTGTTCCATCTAAAACGTCTGCTATTGGGTCATCAGAAACGAGCACTACCGGACATCGACCTTTTGAAAAGAAGTTTCCAAAAATTGCTTCGAAGTGGATGGAAAATAAACTTATGAAAGGAAAACGAATGGCGGAGAAAGATACAGAAGAAGGAACATCGGACATGAATGGAAACGTGGATTCTGAAAAGGTGGATAAAGAGCAGCATGCTGGAAATATGGATGGAAGCCTGGGTTCTGGAGCGTCAGATAAGGAAGATCCGCATTCTGGAACGTGTGCCAAAGATGGTACTTGCGAAGGAACTAACACATTTTCTTCCAGTACACACAGATCTATTTTAGAAAATGACAAAGATCACGACGATGACGACATTGTGGAACCTAGTCCTCCTGACGAGGAACCGGAAGTTAAAAGCGTTAAAGCACAGTTCCGGGAAATACTAGCTGTTGCTGTGAAGAACTTCCGAGAATATCATAATCTCGCTGCTGAGTATGGATTGCAAATGTTGAAGCCAGTCAAGAATGTTGTCAAATCGCTCGGAGAACAGATGGGATTAGGAGAGGTAAGTGTTGGTGGTGACACTAAACTGACTTTATTTCTACTGGATAACTCCAATCTTTGTAGCAACTTGATAAAATAACAACATTGTTACAGCTTGTTGACAAGCTTGCTACAAGCGTGTTGTGAACACATCTTGTTGACAAGTTGGGATTGCCTGTGAAACTTTTATGTGTGTATTTGGAAAAAACCTGCAATGTTTCGTGCAGTCAAACTGCATGCAATATTCTCGCATGTAACTGATGTGTACTTTACATTTTTATCAGAGTATAGATTACGTGGAACAAGAAATGAAACAAGGTCCACAGGGTGTAATTGCAGTGACGTTGATTTTGATTGCATTTGCTGCTTACTTTATGTTGAGTGTTTTGGTAAGTTACACTGATCTTTGACTTCACTTTTTGAACTGCGAGTTCTCACTCCAGATATATATGGAAGTCACTGGAATGGAATTTGATTAACGGTGACTTGTTCTCAGTGAGTTCCATGTATATCTGGAGTGAGGACTCGAGTCCAAAAAGTGAAGCCAAAGATGGTGGTATTGGACGTCAGTTTCAGTCCCTTTCTATTGTTTTTGTCTGCGTGGTCTGCAAAGAGGGTGCCGAAATTTGTATTTCGACTTCAATTTACAGTAAAGAATAAAACTATGGTTTTATTAACTGATAACTTGATTAGCGATACGATCCGTTAAAAATTGGTATTAGCTGGGGGGAAATGGGATTGAAACTGTTGACGACCTTCAGAGCTATTGGACGTCAATTGGCGCCATCTTGGCTTCACTTATGTCATAGGCCGAATGACTGAAGTTCTTGCTCTAGATATATAGAGAGCTCACTGCTTGTGCCAACCTTTTCTCTGATTAAAGTATTCTCATTTCTAGTGTGGGGGAAAAGTGCCACCTGCGTATGGGCCTAATCTAAAAGGTATCGTCTTTCCTTCATAGTTTACTCCGTCAAATCTTGGAAAGGGTTTTAGATAACAATTACTAATTTTGTTGTTCTGATCAGATATTTTTAAGACGTACGAAGGGAGAATCCGAATCCTTGAAGAGGAATGCTCGGGCTATGAAGAAAAAATTAACAACTTGAAAAACAAGGCTGATGAGCATGGAGAAAATGTACGTAATACAGTAATTACTGTACATACTGTACGCTAGAGAATAACTGTAGCAGGGTTTTGTACATGAATGGAAATTTCGGGTGTGAAATTTTATACATTTTTATACAAAACCCTTGTACAATTAGTTGATTTTCCGCTAGAGAATAATAAACTGTTATTCCTGTTATTGGCTAGCTTTCCTGACTGAAAATTTGTTTAAATGTTTTGTACAGAGCTCTGCACTTGAGAAACAGCTGGATGATGAAAAACATGAGCGAAACAAATCCGATAAACAGATTTCAATTCTTAAGGTTTGTATTTTGTGCGGAGCACATCAATGAAGATATGGTCTGGAAACTCTGCGAAATTTCATTATTCTGAAAACTCTCACAAACTGCTCTGTTGTATGTTTTTGTTCATGATTATGCAAACTTGTGCATGATCGGAAGACAGTATTTTTGGCATATAATGAAGCAATCATACAATGGCATCAGCTCGTCGAGTCACTCAATAGATGATTCCCCTTATTACGTTTTCGTAGCGCTTTGCAATGTGGTTATAGTGGTATCACTGATATTCAAGATGGCTTATTTTTTGTCCTGACCCGTGAAAGAACTTTTAAAAAAAGCTAGGGTCAGGTGCACGATAGCCAACAACAAAATATTCGCGAAAACATTCAATATTTTCATTCGAGGCCGCTATCTTTATCAGTGATACCACTGTAACCTCAATGCAAAGCGCTACGAAAACGTAATAAGGGGAATCATCTATTGTACTGTTGAAATATATAACTAACTGTGGATGGTGAAGCTATCCCAACATAAAATCGTGCCTCCGAACTTTGCCAAGATTCTGGATCATATCTTGACTACGATGAGAGTTTCTTCTATTTCTCCACTATCACGTGCTTCTGTGACCTGCTTCTCTTGCATGCAATGCCAGCCTACTCTTCTAATAATCTTTTTTCACTTGATCAGGAAATTGTTCAAAATTACAAGGAAAAAGTTGAGCTGTTGGAAGAGGAATCATCAAAATTAAAACAATCCTTAGACCAAAGGACCGAGCGTATTAACACCATGGAAGAACAGGTTTGGAATTTTAAACATTAAAATTTAAATTAAACGGTTTTGGGGCGAAGGAAATTGTGAAGACTGGCTTAACCAAGTGATGTTTTCCCATTTTAGCTGTCTGAGAAATCAAATGAAATAGAGACAACAGAAGAAAAAATTAATAAGGTGAGTATACTTGCGTTAAAAAAATAGTTATATTTTGCGTTATTTTTCATAGCTAAATTTAGCAATGATTTTTCTTGATTTTAAAATGGTGAAAATAACCTTTAGAGTTAGGTATAAAAACAGCTAAAGATGCGAGTTTATATAACTGAAGTGTTCAAATTTGTTCGCCAGTCACATTCATCTGCAAACGTGAAGAATGCGCAATTCCTTATGCCATTTGCCTTGTTGTAGCTGGAAGAACAGTTGAAAGAAAAAGACGAAGAAAAAAGTGAATTGAATGGAAAAATTGATGAATTTAAACAACAGTTGTCTAAAGCTGAAGACGACACAGACAGGGTAGGAAAATACTAAAGAGGTTAATTACACTTACTGATAAAGCTTCGGATTGATATAGATGCAAGAGTCTTCGCTTGAAACGTCGAAGTTCTCATTGTATTTTCAGGTACACACGTAAAAACGCACAAGTTGTAACAAGTTTGCCAACAAGCCGTCAACAAGATGTACTCGCACTGCTTGTCACAAGTTGTCAACAGGTTTGGAACAACTTGTTGACAACTTGTAACAACCTTGTCGAAATTATCAGACTTGTTGCAAGGTTGTTCTGACTAGTCCGTTACATGCTTGATATAACAAGATTGTTACAACCTTGTGTTGACAACCTTGTAACATCCTTGTTTTATCATGGCTGTAACAAACTTGTTAGCACAGTCTTGTAACAAGGCTGATAATGCCATCAAGCTTGTTACAAGTTGTTAACAGCTTGTTTCATACTTGTTACAACAAACTGGGAACAAGAAATGCGAACACAACTTGTTGACAGCTTGTGAACAGACTTGTAACAACTTGTTTGCAGACTTGTTACAACTTGTGCGTTTTTACGTGTGTAAGCCAATCAGAATGCGTAAAACGCGTCATCGCATGCAATTTATAAACGAACATTTGGGAACCATATGGAGTTTTTTTTTTATTGTTTTTTTCCCTGAAATTGATATATGTTGTTCTTAGAAGAATTATCCTCAACTTCCTCGTGGGAATTTTTTATTAATTGCGTTATGGCGAAGATATTGGTTCTTCAAATGTTGCCTTGCGCAAGCTTAAATACTACACCTCGAAAGTGTAGGTTTCAGGGTTTTATTTTTTAAAAGATACTTTAATCTTCATATTTTCACATAAACTTATTGACATTTGGTTTGTAAACAAGTAAACAGGACACTCCGAACAGCGTGGCGATCAATATGGCGTATACAAATATAGAGTTTTTAAAATTTACAATTACAATATAGCAACGCGACGAACAAAAAAAAACAATCACAGACAGTACAAAACAAACATCGGCAGCCAAATTTTATTTATTATTTTGATTTTGAAGTAAAAATTGTTTAACTTTTCCAGGAGGAGGCGGTGTTGCAATTTACCATCGCAGTATTTTGAACGTAATTGATAGAGATGATTTAGTCCCAGAGGACGTCGAGGCTGTTTGCCTCGAAATTATTAAGCCTAAATCTAAACCTGTCTTAGTTGCATCTGCATATAGGCCACCGAATTCGCAAATTGAATTCCTTGATAAAATTAAAGTATTATTTCAAAACCTTGACAACGAAAATAAAGAACTAATTATCGTTGCCGATTTAAATTGTGATTTTTTATCCAACAATTTAAGCAATCACACTAAACGTTTTAATGATATAGTTAATATATTCCAGCTGACACAGTTGATTGACCAGCCTACACGAATTACCGAAAAAACAGCTTCTCTTTTGGATGTCGCTCTTGTAAACAATCCTGAAAAGATTTCGCACTCAGGAGTATTGCATGTTGGAATAAGTGACCATAGTTTGATCTACGTCTGCAGAAAAATTTTGTTTGTAAAAAATGATCCCAAATTCGTTGAGTCAAGAAATTTTAAAAACTACATACAGCGAGACTTTAACCAAGACTTATACCATGCTTTATCTAATTTAAATTGGGAGATAAATCATCCAAATATGCTTTGGGAGAACTTTCAAACAACATTCAATTATGTTGCTGACATTCATGCTCCACTTCAAAGCCGTAAAGTTAGAAACAGAAAGGCACCGTGGCTGACTGATGTAATTAAGAAAAGTATGAATCGCCGAGATTATCTCAAGAAGAAAGCTATTAAGACAAACTCAATTGCATGCCACAATGCTTACAAAAGTCTTCGCAATGAGATTAACAAAAAAATTATGTATGCAAAGCGAGATTATTACACAAACTGTGTTGACAGAAACAGAAATAATACAAAGCAAATGTGGAAACATATTAATCAGTTAGTTAATAAAAATTCAAGATCAACAAATATATCAGTACTACAAATAGACGAACAGGTTATTACTGAAAATGAAACTATAGCTGATTTGTTCAATGAATATTTTACTGATATAGGACCAAATCTGTCGAACCAGATCACGGAAACTAACACTGATTTAGCCTGCATGGCAGGCGGTACGTAGGAAATACCGCCTGCCGCAAAACTGGGTGTAAATGAACTACCGCCCCTGAAGCATCAACGCTATTTATAGATGCATTAATTAAGTAAATATTCAAAATTAGCCACTCCCAAGCT